CTCGCCCATCCAGAAATTGAGAAGTACATATTCCATCAGCCAAGTCGAACTACACGAGAGAAAGTTGTTCGTGTCGTAAACTCTCAGAGTAAAAATTATTTTCATGTTTTCATATTAATTCCAGTTATCATGCAAACAAGACGTACATTCAAATACGTATCCAGAAAAAAGGGGATCCTGCGTAGGTTACTCTCCATGAAAAACTTGCCCCCGTGCAGAGAGCAGTCTTACTAATTTACTAATTAATTAGGACACATGCATCCAATCCAATCCACAAAACGGAACGGAACGAAGCAAGAGATGAAACGAACCAACCAGGCAGCAAAAAAAGTTGGTACATAAGTATTTAACACGAGCAGGAGTAAAAAGAAGACCTTGTTTTTCTAATGAGCTGAGCACAGGGCGGATATGTATTTCATTTGCAAGTTTTTTTTTTTATTTGATGACGATCGACGGTAAAATTTTGGGATGTGTTCCTTAGCTCGCATAGATCACAAAAATTTCTAAATATTTTTACAATTTTTACATATTAGGAAATATTTCTAGATTTTCAAACAGATATTTCAGATATTATTTAAGAAATGCGGAAATCATTTGCATATTTTTTAATATGTATATTTTGTAAATATTTCAATGATTTGAGAGCCTAAATTTGTTTCCTCAAAGAAATAAACTACAAAAAATCCAAAGTGTTAAATTTAAAAGTACAAATTTGACTAAATTTCGTATTTTTATGTTTTTTTGGTACAAATTTCGAACTTATTTTAGCATTTTTTCGTAAATACATAACCGTCCTATGCTAATGAGGCAACAAAATCTACACCCACCCACCCACCTTCATTTAATTTCTTTCTTGTTCTTCGTCCTCCTCGTAAAATAAAATCCACTCGGGACTCCTCTTCTCACGGATATAAAATTATTAACAACGCCGTGATTTTCAACCTCCGAAAAAAACACTAATTAAAATTCTCTGAAAAAATGCAGCACAAAATTAAGAGCCCCGATTGGATCATTATTTTCAGAAAATCCTCTCCTATCTGCATTTTTTTCTTGAAAAATATCCTATTCATTGTTACTCCTGATCCCATCAAACTTTTAAAAGTTCGATTTCTTGTAACTTTTTGAAATTTCTTGTCCAAAAACTCTAAAAAAATCAAGTGAAAGAAATGATTACCTTTTCATTTCTCATCTCCCCGAAATTAAAAAGTTATAGTATCCGATTTATTTCACCTTTTTCAAATTTCTTAACCAAAAAAGTGCATAAGGTAAGAAATGGACGCAAAAGTTCGACATTAACATGATTTTTTATCTCTCAATAGATACTAATTAAAATTCTGCTCGAAATTTAATCCCAATTTAATTTCTAAAAATACGTATTCAAGAAAATACTCTACTTTCTCCATTTTTTCTTGAAATATCCCATCTTTTTCACTCCTTATCTCTTCAATTAAAAAAATACCTGGTTCTTTTCAATATTTGATTTCTTGCACCTTTTCGAAACGTATTTTACATGAAAACGCTGTACAAAATCGAACTACGACATTTCCACGATTTTTTTTTTACTTACCTCTCAACCCTAATTAAAATCCTGCTCGGAATTAAATCCCAATTTAAATCTTTCTAAATACATCTGAAAATACCCACTTTCTCCACTTTCTCTCCAAAATATCCCTCCTTTTTTACTCCCCTCCTCCTTAAAAAATCTCTCCCTGAAAAGTTGTCAGACTCCGATTGTTGGACATTTAAATTAAAATTGTACTTTTTTTTATCCCAAAGTTGAGAAGCAAGTTGAAGTAGTTGTAATGGAAAAGTAGTCCGTCAGTCAGTCAGTCAGTTTGAGAGGAGAGAGTGAAAGTAGTCGGACGGGGGGTGCGAGTGACTGGCTGAGTAGAACGGAAGAAGAAGGAGAAAAAAATCATTAAATATTTAATCACTAGTTCATCAAATAGTAAATCGCCTTTCAAACATCTTACATTATTCAATTCTCCATTACATTCCCACGTACCCACTGCACAACCAAGAAGGGATCACAAACTCCACCAACTGTGCAGTCTAACTACTGAATATTCTCAAACATGACTCATTTCCTTACTTAAAAGTATCACATCAGTCACGTTAAAAAAAGTAAAATTCTGAAATCATTACAAATTCTGTGCAGTTTTTTTTAATTTAAGAGAAACTATTACTTATTAAACAGGGTCATACTTACTTATTTCTACATTTTCTACAGCATGACTTCAACCTAACATGTCTCATTTTTTAACTAAAAAAGTGTATTAGTCACGTTAAATAAACTGTAAAATCATTAAAAGATTAGCGAATTAATTCATTGTTGCGGAAATGTATTCTGAAAAATGGCAAATGATGAACCAATTGTTGTTCAAATCGATAGCTTTGTAGTAACAACAATTCATTAGAAATAAAACCAGCATTTTTCTCAAAACTCGTGAAATTCGTGCCATTTTAGGACTTTATATCATTAAATGTGACATTAAAAATCTATCCCACATAAAATTGTCATCTGATTCCACCTTAAAACCGGGGTCGTATCAGTACTCGTTGGTTGGTTGGTTAGTTATTTGAGCTAATTTTTCCTTCCTGTCTGTCAGACTACACAAATAAATACGTGATTCAATCAAGTTCCGGGTGGTACGTACGTACGTTCATTCTTAAATAAAAGCTAGAGAACAATGCAGGAATTAGTGGTGGATGCAATGCAAGGACACAAATCCGAGGGAGCCCTCAGGGAATGAAGGGTGGTCCCTATAAAATATAACGAGATAAGTGTCCTCCAGTCAGCAATTTTTGCATAAAACTAAACCAACCAAGATGAATCATGTCCATCTGCCACCTTCTTCCCGTCCTTCACTAAACACCACACAGTCGAATAGTGTGTATATACAATTTTGTAAGGGAAAATTGTGTTAGGAAAAATTATGTAAAGAAAATTCTTTACTGAAATTGCTCTACAAAATTCTGCAGTAATAAATTACTCAATTCTCAATAATGCTTGCAATTATTGCGAATAATTAATATTTTCCAATTCTACCCACTAATAACTTTCACATTTTTCCAAAAGTTACGCAGGTACTTGGCTTTTAAAAGCTTCGATTTTCGCTTTCCTCCCCAAAATTTTACATCCCTCCCTCAAAACGTAACGTATGTATGCAATCTCCTAAAAATTGTGCCCTGTTACTACTAAACGCCACATAATATATTTTTCGAGAAAAAATATTAGCGTACTATTGACACAGATTTGTAGTTTCTTGTCACAATCCACCGAAAAATTTGAACACCTCGCAAACGTAATATTAGTTACTTGTAAATAAGTACCAACAAGTACCAATAAAAAGAAGTGGTACTGGACTTCTTTCTAAAATATGCGATTCAATATTTGTATATAAATACGAATCAAAAATCAGCCTAAAAAGTTTGTCACGATTAAACGTCGCAAATTTTTTTTCTAAATCGTAATTTACGAGTTACACAGGTCTTCTCGTCCCTGTTCATAACGTTTGATCATCTCCTCCACCTAAAAATCTATCCGCCTCGCAAACCTAACTCAATTTACGGCACGTACCAATTTACCAAAAAAAGAAAGAGGGGAACTGGACATTACAATATTTATTTCCACTCTTATACCCGCACCGAAAATATCGGAAATCCGGGTTACTTCCCTCCTTTCCCCCGAAATAAAGGCGATACGATAATGTCATTGTCAGCAACAACACCGTCCAAAAACTGTTATCGCATCATTTCCATCCAACACAAAATGTGGTGATGATGACGAGGGAGATTTTTCTGCCATTCGGTGCAGGGATGACCAAAATACTTCAAAATATAGAATTTTGAGCTCTGTTCAGGATTTCCGCGGTTGTTACACCCACCACAAAAATACGAAAATCCACGTCGAGAAGACACCAATCCGACGGAAATACCGGTTTTCTGAAGAAATTAACTATTTCCCAGGGTCAAAATTCTGTATTTTTGAACAAATCTTGAAAATCATTTAAACAACAATAAAATTTTAAATACAGTACTCACACGAAAATACACGTTTTTTGAAAAAATTAACTTTTTCACCACTGTCAAACTACTTTAGTTTTTTTTAGAAAATCTTGAAAACAATGGAGTTAAACACCGATAAAAAATTATTTTCACACAAAAAACCTGCATTTTCGAATGACTGTTGTCTTGTCCATGTAGATTTTTGCCTTTTGTAACACCCTAATTCGCCCCGTAATCCAAACCCTGGCAAGAATCTAGCTCAAAATACTACCCACTTCCACACCGTATTTTGCCCACCTCTTATTTCCTGACAATTTTTCCGTCTCCAAAATAAAAATAATACACAATTTTCTCCTTCTGATGACTAATCGAATCTTAAATTCAGTTTAAACCACGCCATAAATTTTCATGTCTGATTTATTTATTCAAAAATTCCACTCGACCTCGTTCTGATTTTGATTAATAGTTTCAAATTCGCAAAAAAATCCTCCGTGTCACGAGATCAATGCGATGAATTATATGCAGATCAGAGTCTCTGACATGAATAAATATACAAAATCAACATTCGTTACGGTGAAATGAAAACGAATCCAACTTTTTTTTTGCATCGTGCCAAAATTTATTTTAACTGTTTGGCTCCTTCCTCCAAGTCAATGAGGATGATAAGTTCACTCAATATCAGAGATATCATTTTTGATAAAGTGGTCTCCTCGCCCTAATTTTTTGCACAGATTTTTTATTTTGCACAGATTTTTTATTTTGCACAGATATGTATTTTTAAAATATATTTGATTTTAAAAATAAAATTGTAAAGGATCAACGACAAAAGTCGATTTTACAAAATTATGACTCAAATTAAAAATTTAAGATTTGACATTTTCGATGAAACTTTTTCCTACTGATAATTATTCTGAAAATGTGCATTTGATTATGCAAATTTTTGAACACGTTTCTAACCAAATTTACACTAATTTAACATGACGATGAATTTATTAAGAATTATGATTCAGCTTTTTTTTTATTTTGTTAATGATACGGTGAAATTCAAACATTTTTCGCGATAATGTCCTCGGTCGAAAAACTTTTGTGGTACCATACAATTGTATTTCATTTGTTAGCAAGAACTTTTGAACATGCCCAAAATTATATGACGAAAAAAATATAAAATTGTACCACATCCACGACAAAAGTATATCTTACATAATTTTTCTTTTTTTTTTAATACAACCACTTTAAGATAAGGGAGTCATCATAAGGCAAAATTATTTAGAAATACTGCGAATTTAAACATTTTTCGCAACAATGTCCCGAATTCTGCCGGTCACCGTCCAATCCCACCACACGCTCGTTGTACCAATTGATTACCTCCATGCGACAAAAATGGCACTGCATTTCTGTAACAAAAAGTTCCACTTAAAAAAATACGCCATTTTTTCCAAAATTTTAAAATTCCTCACTTTTAATCGTAGCTGCCCTTTTCAATCCGTGCAATTTTACGACATCCGGAGTCGTATTCATATCAAACTTGTAATCCATTCCAGTTTCACATTTTTTAAACGAATTGCTTGATTTGCACGTCGATAACTCGCTGTACAAAATAATTAAGTAAAAAATTAAATAGATTGTTGTTTGTTTTCCCCAAAAATTGTAGTTTATCGTACCCATTTTTCCCCACAATTCTGCTCCCATGCTTATCTTCCTTATGCGTCACGCATTGCTCTCTCCGTTCAAAAATTACTTTGCAAACGTTACACTGATAAAATATTTGGGGTGCGAGCCCCCAATTTTTTGAGGACGAGGCAAAATTAGTACTTTTATTAAACGGTTCCATTCCAGATAAATAATCTTAACCAGAAAATTGCCAATAATTCAACTTTTTCGCAAAAAATGTGCACACTATTTTACACACAAATACAAAGGAGCCCTTAATAAGGAGCCCTTACAAGTAGCTTGGTTTGTGACGTTTTCTTCTTCTTCTTCTTCCTGGAAGACGAGGACTTGTTTCATCCTGAAAAAAAAAATCAGGTGTACCCTTCACCCAAAATAAATGTAACAATGGAAAGTGAAAGGGTTATGAAGGGCTCATTTCATTGTTGGGTCCCTTAAGAGAAATATGTAAATACGTCACAAGTGTTAAATAAGAATTGTACTAATTTGTCGTAATTCTACTAAATTTATTTAAGTATTTACAAATGTATGGTCATATTAATTTTTACGTATTTTATTTGTATATTTCAGATTCTTCCTCAAATTCTTCCTAAAATGCAATCAAAACTGTCTCAAGAATGCCGGTAATTGTAATAATTGCACAATTAATGTAGCAACCACGTGAGATTAATGAGTGTATAATTACTAAAATATATTATACAGGCAACCCACGTGACATGCGGAGGTTTCAGGTAAGCACAAAACACGTTTGAAATTTTCAAAAATATCCCTAAAACATATGCATAAAAACAGATAAATTAATTCACAATTCATATTTATTTTAATCAAATTTACTAAATAATAATTAGTTTGAAAAAAATGCAAAATTTTAGACTAAAACTGCCAATTTTTTGATTTATCAGTAAATTTTAATAAGTTTTAGTCCTTATCAATTTCCGGAATTTCTTATAACATTGACCTTCTTACATAACTATTGAACTAAAGCTTCATATTTTTTGGTACCAGAAGAACTATTAAATTTTGTAAATTTTCCCCATTGCCCTACTACAATTTTAACCTTTTGCATATTTAACTATCGATCATGCCATAAATGTCATAAATGACTAGAAACTCTTACTAATTTTTATAAATTTCTCGCATTACGCAGATTTCTTAGAACATTAACTTTATAAAGAAGTATTTACATATTATTGGGCATTCCCTAAATGCCACAAATGCAATAAATGCCATGAATGCCATAAATGCCACAAATGAAATAAATGCCACAAATGAAATAAATGCCACAAATGCAATAAATGCCATAAATGCCATGAATGCCATAAATGTAAGTACACCTCTTCTCCTCCTGCATATTTAATCTAAATTAATCCAGTAAGAAAAGAAAGAAAGCATGTTGCACATCGGTCGAGTGGATTGTGATGAAGGGAAAGTAGGTACGTACATATATTTTGGGTGGGTGCATATCTGTATATGTAAATGAGAGTGAACTGGCTGAGCGTGTGTAATGGAGGTAATCTTTCCTCATTGAAAACTGAGCCTGCCATTCTCCATAATCTCACAGCTTAAATCCGCTCCTCTTAAAATGTCAAGTCCTCTCTTCTCCCCACCAAACAAAACACTCATCCACAACCAGGAATAAAATTGACTAAATATTGTGTATCTAACTTATCCCAGTCACAACTTTTACATTCATCCAGTCAACAGGAAGTCAGTTGCATATGCATAATCAAAAATTGCATGTTTATAGAATATTTATATCCCAAAATCGTCGCATACTCCATTAAAAATATGGTAAATCTTACATAAATTCATGATTTCTCCTAAATATAACGAGGTAATTCACTCACGCAGCAATTGGTAACTTTATAAAATTCGTGTGAATCTCATAACTTAAAGTTTCCGAGAATATGTATAAATAAGCAATTCACGCAGTTCTTAATAACTTCCATAAAATCCGGAAATCTTGCCATAAAACTTCAAACTTTCTCCAGAATATAAACAAACAATTCACGCAGTTCTTGGTAATTTTGTAAATTGCAAAACTTAACTAATATGTATTTCGTATAACAAAATAAGCTCCCAAATTTTTGTCAACTTACTCCCATCCTTTTACTTTATATAAAAATATCATAAAATTATTTTACAAAATTTACCCATTTACAAACTTACTAAACCCTACGTGAATGAATTCCGTTAAGGTTTTGTTTTGGTAAAATTAAGCACAAGTCCTTATTCCCATCGGTCCCTTGACATTGTCATGTTTTTGTCACCACCGTTTTGTTTTTCTCCAGCCAGCCACCTTTCTTCTCTTCCTTAAATAGAACTTCTTTATTCCCCACTTGACAAATCAGTTTGGAGAGAGACGCTCCTTAATTTCATCCCCGTCGGGATCAAGATCCGTATCCGTATCTACAGAATCATTCCGATTTATTCTCCTCCTGACACTTCTTTATCTTACAATAATTCCTAAGACTCGCACACACAACTCATGCCTAACCAACTAAATACATTCTTACGAATTACATACGTCAAGAGAGTCGTAGCGTTGGTTATTATTCCTTTTTGTGATGATCCTCCTCCTGGGAAAAGAAATTCGTGACAGTCGCAGGCGACAAGTCATCCCTTCATTTGTCATCTTGTCTGTCTCTCCTGAAATCCAGTGTCAGCTGGACGATAAACTAGCTAAACAGTAGCTTCAACAAAAAATTAACAATTAGTTATCACACCCACCCCAAACTTGACTTATATATCTACATAATCCTTAATTTATACCTCCAGCCACCCAAAAACTCTAAACTTTTCCTTCTTACATTTCACCCATGTAAGTAAATCTTACCAGACCGGAAAATACCATCAAAACAGGAAAGGTTTCCTTCCTCCAGAAAGTGGGACCCTTAACACTCATTACGTCACATGTCACACATTTCATCCTCACGATATTGACACTTTACTCCCAATCAAACCCAATCCACCCACTAAACCAAAACCAAACCACACAAAAAGACAGATCTTACATGTCTCTCTCTAAAAGAGAATGAGTGATCGAGTCTTTTGGCCCAAGTGTGAAAAAATGTCACACTGTTTTGATTACTTAATGTGGTGTACTTAACACTTCGACACTTCCTCCTCCACAAATATTTCCTCTTCAACTACTCACTCAGCCACCCTCTGTACATTCATATGTATGTAACTAGATATGAAATGTCGTCTCCGTCTCATTTTCTGCCTGTCTCTGGCCACGGACCAATTTTCCTCGCCTTTTTCTTCTTATGTATGGCAGACTCACACAAGTCACATAACAATAAAATCTACTCGCCACCAGTGACCGCGGAACGGAAGGTGTAGGGACAACGGGGGACATTGCCATTGTAGGATAGGGAGGGGAGTTCATTAGAAATGGGGTTACGATTATACCCAAAAAGTAAACGTATATGACTCTACCACCGTGGTTATGAATTTGTATAAATTTATTAGCTATGGTGACAATTTAATACCAAGTCGGTGAAACTTTATATTTAGTCGGTGACAATTGTAACCACTCGATGACAAATTTATTACCGAGTCACATACGTTTACTTTTTGGTTATAATCGTAACCCCATTTCTAAGAGTTTGTAAGATGGGCAGATCCTGGGGACATTGTCGCCCCTCTGTCCCCACGCACGCTTCCGCGGTCACTGCTCGATCCGCCGTATGAAAAACAGGAAGGAATGGAATGGAATGTATTTGGTTGGAAAAATGTCTTGTTGACAGTTTCCCTTTGACTTACGAGTTTGGGAAATTAGTCCTAATTTGGCCAACCATAACATTCCACTCTTTATCACAAAGACACACACATGGCTTTATCATCCTCCTCATCCCCATCATAAATACCCCATAATTCGATTCATCCCATAACATAACAATAGCTGTTTTATTACATCACAAAATAACAAAAGTTATGTACAATAGTCTGTTTTATGTATATAAATAGCAAAAGTTATTGATTCGGAAAGGTGGATCGAAATCTGGTGGTGTAATGCAATGCATAATAATAATGGCATGATGCAATTTCTTCCCTGATGCAATTTGAGTACGAAGCAGTGCAGCGAGACTTGTTATACGCACAGAAATGCATACACGCTCAAGGGCCTACTTTTGCCAGGCAGGAAAGGAACTCAACTAACCAACTGATGCACTTCTGGTCTCGTCTCTCTCGCTCGCTTCGCTTTTTGGAGGAGAACCCGTCACTGGCAGAATCATAGATTTTCATGCCCTCTTTTTCCCCTATGTTGCAAAAGTAATAGCAAAAGTGAAGTGGAGTTTTATTCCATGGCACCTTAAAGACTAATTTTCATATTCCAATGTTAAACTGGTCGTACGTACATATGTAGTAAAAAATTTACCAAAAATCCCTGATTTTAATCGAATTTTCATAAATTTCCTGATCCCAGAAAGACTCATTTTGTATCGACATCGTATTCGACATCAGTTTGATTTTTTTTTAATTTCTTCACTATTTTACAAAATTTTGCTGTACTTGAAAACCTATAAAATTAAAAATCGAGTTTGATATCAAATATTAATTATCGAAGATCAAGAAAATCCTAAAATTGTGAAAATTTCAGAAAAAATGAGGGTTTTCACCCAGTTTCTACAATACCCAAAATAGGGGTATTTTTCCTCTTTTTTCACCCCTTTGAGTGGGTGTGACGGGGATTTATTTTCCCTTCCTTTACAGCATTGAAAGGGCATCTCAATCCGTCTTTCTCACCACCACGTGCTCTCCTCCTCCTCTTCCTCCTTTTACTCTAGGAGCAAGCAAGTGCAAGGTTGAAGTGTTTTGGGAAATGAGAATGATCTCCTCTGGGAACTAATTCCCCACAGGGTTCCAATGTTCCAACCAACCCGTCTCTCTTCCTTCCTACCAGCCCAATGCCTTACTTTCCTCTCTTATGCATCCACGTCCCATTTATTTCTGCAGCTACAAAATGCACCACCGTTTTGTTTACTTTGCCCTTATTTCCTTACCAAAGATATCATTACTACCAAAACATCCACTCCACTATTTTATGCATCCGGAAATAAAAATTTATTACCACCAGTCAAACCAGAAACATTGTCATCCTCCAAATATCTACTTGAGGTTTAAATAAATCCTCTTGTAAAAATGTTATTCTTTCGTAAAAAAAGGGTATTACATTGTATTACAAAACTGTCAGTGTGCACCGTCCGTAATCCGCTGCCTTACGCCGTGGAAAAAGGGGGCATCTCTCATCCCCATCAAGTCAGACTTGGGCACAGTGGCCGCAGAAGCAGTGGGGACATTGTCATTGTATGATAGCTGGTTTATGTAATGAGGTCAGACACTGGGGACATCGAATTAACCGTGCATGGACCTTGTCCCTCTGTCCCCACGCCCTTCCGCGGCCACTGTACTCATCAATTCAGAAGGAAAAAAGCTAATTTGTAATCCTCACTCGCCACCATGCCCGTAATCCAAATGGCTTATCATATTTAATAAAAATATTGGCATTTTTTTTCTCTTATTCAATTAAATCAAACAATGGGTCTGGATTTGTTTATTTTTATCTGCATCGTGTCGTGCATGGGGCAGAGGCAGAAGCCAATTTTGTACGTACAATATGGAATATGTTGGAAAGATGATAAATTATTTTTTACACTGGATGGACATCAGCCAGGCCACCCTCCAAACCGCGGGGGGTCTGTAAATCCAGGGAATTAATTTTCTACTATGTGTAATCAATTAGGGGGAGAGAAAGCATGTATGTAAGGGAACTAATTTCGGGATATTATTTTGCCCTCTTAAATCTGCCTTCAATCTAGTGAAAGAAAAATGAATTTAATAAATTGTCCCAATTTCCAATTTTTCAAATAAATAGTTTTGTGTACTTAAGAATTAACCTGAATTTTTTTTATGGTGGCAACAATTCCAGAGGGAAATTGATTCAATTATTGGGCACAATTTCCAATTTTGTGTGGCACAGTTTTTCCATAAATTCTGCATAACTCTTAAAAATGAACGACAGATCTACATGTTTTTTATTACTTTAGTATTTGATTTATCTCAAAACGACGTTAACATTACACTTTTACGAAGTTTTTTTAAAAATAAAATATCTCTAACAATGAAGGTTTCCCAGCACCGATTTTGAGCAAATTAGTGTCAATCAATGTAAATTTATTTAGGATGAAATTTGCGAAAGACACGGTCTCCCAAATGGACAGACTTGGTCGAGATATTTGCATCCGAAGAGGAGAAAACGCGCAGTAAAGTTGACAAATTTTACGCTTTCCAAATTTACTGCACGTCTTCTCCTCCTAGGATGCAAATATCTCGGCCAAACGTGCCCATGGGAGATTGTGTCTTTCTCAAATTTCGTATTAATTAAATTTATAATTGATTGACACTAATTTGCTCAAAATCGGTGCTGGGAAACTTCAATTGTTGGAGATATTTTATTTTTACAAAAACTTTGTAAAAGTGTAATATTAACGTCGTTTTGAGATAAATCAAATACCAAAGTAACAAACGACATGCAGATTGAACGAAATCCGAGCAGGTCACAGAGTTTACGTATGGAAAAATTGTGACAAAGAAAAACTTGAGAGATCGTGTCTTTCGCAAATTTCATACTAATCAAATTTGTCATCGATTGACACTAATTTGCTCAAAATCATTCTTCAAATATGTCTAAATTAAATCATCTCCCCTCTAATTTCATCCAACTTTCTCCTTAATTAATTGAACTCCTCTTCCTTAATTCCAGGTAATCATCGCGACCCAAGTCAGCGTGGAGGGCGCCCTTCTCTCCGTAAGTAGTGAAAAAAACTTTCTCCACATGCAAATTATTACGAGTACCACGTGCTAAAACCTTTCTCCACATTTTGAACAGGTGTCGGACAACATGTTTGTTCACAACAATTCCAAGCACGGCCGGCGAGCGAAGAGACTCGATCCGTCGGAAGGTAATCAATCTCAATCACTTTAGTCCCTCACCAACCAACTAAACGCCACCCGTCTGCATCAACAGTTGTGTGGGGCTCAGTGGCCGCGGAAGCTGGAGGGGACAGAGGGGAACATTGCCATTGTAGGATAGGGGAGTCAGGGGTTTATATAGCAGATACCGTGGGAGCATTGTCCGCGGCCACTGGGGACGACATTGCTAAAACAAGAAGGATGATTAAGTGGCCGCGGAAGCCGTGGGGGCATCGGGGGACATTGTCATTGTAGGATTGGAGAGCCATGTGTTTATATAAGATGATAGGAACACCTAATAATTTTGGGCAAATTGTCCCTCTGTTCCCACACCCTTCCGCGGCGCCTGATCTTGCCTTGATACTGCACCCAATCTGGTAGACATCTCTCTGGAAAAAGAGCTCCACCACCAGCACGAGCAGCCACTGAATGAATTAGGTTACACGAAATCATTAAGCTCAATCAGTTAAAGTTGCCATGTCCCAAAGTGAAACTGATGAAAGTTGCTTTCTCTTCCTTTTCTCGGCTCCTCGTCTCCTCGTGGTGGTGGAATTTTTAGTGCTCCGAGTAGTAAACGCAACACCCGAGAGACCTGACTTTCCAAAGTCCTCAGAGGCTTCTTCTCTCCATCTCCTTAACAATCCCGGAGAGAATTCCAGCCAGGCAGGCAGGCACTCTTAGAAAACGGGGATTAAATCAGTACTCCCCGGAGTCTATGGGATCCGGTAATAACGGGTATTACCATTTACCAATTTTATACTACTGACAAATTTACCACGAAGAAACAAACCACTACCAATCCGGTGGCAACTTATTACCAAATAAATACCAGTATCTCACTCTCCCAGATTATTAAGAGTGCATCTTTTCCCTCGTCGGGATGAAGTGATACGACAATTAGGATCTCTATCCTAGTCCCCACTTTCTCCTAACTCCTATCCACACGACAAAATTGTGTGGTTCATCCTACAACAATGTACTTTCTCCAAAACAGCGGAGAAAGCTGCTGCACTGCTTTCTTTTTTTACCAAATTTAATTTTTGAAGCGATCCGACAATTAGTATCTCCTACTTTCTCTCATCATGCACTCCGCACACGGCAGGAAGTGTGGTCCAACATGCTTTCTCCTTATCCAAAAAACCTGCCCTGCTTTCTACTTCCTACTCCACTTTCTCCCACCAAATTTAATTTTCTTGCGAGGCAAATTACACCATTTTTTCCGTACCAATGGAACTACTTTCTCTCCCAAAAATAAATACGCTTTCACCCACCCACCAAACCATACATTTGATTTCTTGGCTGACTTTCTTTTTTGAACGGGGCTGATTTCTCGGATCTCAACTACTTTTTTGGCTCGTTTTCATCTTTCCTTCCGTGAGTGGAAGGAAGGGAGGGAAGCTGGTAGTAGCGGAAGTAGGAAGGCAGGCAGTAGGCGACTGTGTAGCTGGTCTGGTGGATTAGTATGATATCGGAGTAGGGGCCCCATGATGGCATTCAAGAGAGTCCCGAGCGGCCATTGCGATTCCCCGAAGAAAAGGGAAAAGGCGGCTCCCCAGAGAATTCCATCACATCGATTTGTCTCCCCCTCCAACAAATGGAACGTCCTCTTCTCTCTCCATAAATATCGTCCCCACTCTCTCGCTCCCCACCTCTACCACTCTCTGCTTCTTCTACCAAAATCAACCGATCCCACCCCACAGAAAAAAAAGAGAGAAAGAACCAGGGAGAAATATAAAATAAAATAAAATCAAGATACAAAAATTCCTTAAAGGAATGAAAACTGAAAAGATTTTACAAATTGGGAAGGTTATTTGACAACTTTCACTTGCACATTTTTTTGTAATAATGAAAATATATAAGGATTTCTTCAATCTGTCAAAAAATCTGTCAATCCAGAGCATACAAATTCGAGGAAAATTATGAATTTGGTTTACAAATTGCGGGTGTTAATTTCTTAACGGAAAGATGACAACTTTCACTTGCTCGTTTTTTTATAATAGAAATCTCGGGTTTCGGGCTTCACTCTGTTATAAAACCTGTCACTCCAAGAGATTAAAAAATCAGTGAAATTATGAGTTTAAAGAATATGAAAACGGATTTTGAAAGATTTTACAAATGGTTTATTTTCAAAAAATTACGACTTTCACCCCCACATTTTTTGTAATAACGAAAAAACCTCACGCTTTTTGTCAAAATCTGTCACCAATTTCAATCTAAGAGATTCAAATCCCTGTAAAATTACGACTTTCACTCACACATTTTTTCTAACAATGAAAACTAAATTCTTCAACCTGTCAAAAAACCAGGATCCATCCAATATATTCAAATTCCAGTAAAATGACAACTTTCACCTTGACATTTTTGTGTAATAAGGACATAAAAAAATCTTCAAATGCATTCCTTAACCCGTAAAAAAACCTGCATCAATCCAAGATATTCAAATTCCACTAAAATTATGAATTTGTCACACATACACGTTTCGCAACTTCTTTTTACTCCACCCAATTGCACAATTTGTATTAAGAAAATACCAAAATTCATGAAATTTGAGAATCCACCATCGCATATAAACTGGTGAAATGCACCAAACCCCAGAAGAAGATGAGGATGCACCCGCAGAAAGATCTCTCTCCCCTCCCCCACTCGCTGTGTTGACTCTGACAAAATACCCGGATTCGGGTACTACATACATACATATCTAGATACTTGTAACTTATTCACTCACTCTCTCTGCCTGCCTCGTCTCAATCCTCTGATTTCCTCGCCGCTTCCTCCTCTCGACACGCTCATATTTATGCAACTTCTAAAAATGAAGTAGAGAGGAGCAGATGGGAGCAATACTACGACGACGAGGACTATTTACTACTACCCATCCACCAAACCACCTACGTACGCATGAATGTATACCTGAGCTCTCTTTCTCTCTCTATTTTGGTGTGGATGAGTGGAGTGGAGTGGATTTGATATGCAGATGATGCAGAAGAAAGAAAGGTAGTACAGGATTAAGCTCTCTCTTTCTATCTCGACACCTGACAAATACACTCTTAGAAACTTGGTATTGAAAAAAACCTAACGGTATTGATACGTGACTCTACCGCCTCGGTATTAAACGGTTATACCATATTGGTATAGAGCCGGTATTGAAATTATACCTCATGGTAATAATTTTAATACTAATTGGCATTAAATTTTTTACCACGTAGTATTAACTCAATGCCGTATCAATACCAGAGTCACGTATCAATACCAACGGTTATTGATTTTTTTAAGAGTGTAGTTTGTCTTCCTTTCTTCCCGGTTTTCCACATTTCTTGCAATGGAAAGCAAGCCACGTGAGAAATGTGGGGTGCAAGAAACTGAGAGAAAGTGCAAGAAATAAGTCACGCGCCGTATGAACAATTTATAGCGGCGGGACTTAATTTTTAGAGCCTTCTTATATTTCCTGCAGGTCAAAATATTTACCTACAAGAAACCAGTTTCTTAATTTCTTGCCTGTGGTTTGGTTACTTTACATGCACCCGTAACACTCCCGACAAAACTTATCACTGATCGTCTCACCACTTTTACGACGCATCAATGACACTTATCTCCCCGAGAAGATAAATATAAGACGATAAAATTCATAAAATTCATTTTTTTACAAAATTCGACGACGATTCTTTCAATTCCAAATTTTTTAGCTTGACTTTTGTTAAAATATTCAGTTGTAAGAAACTGGTTTTTCCTTTCCGTTATTTCTTGCAAACTCTCACCCGAAGCACCGTTAAAATATAGAAATTACGTTTATGACACTTATCTTGCCCAAAAGATAATGCGATAAAATTCATCTAATTGATTTTTTCTTCACAAAATTCGACGACACTTCCAATTCTTTTGACTTTTGTTCTCTGTTCGGATGCAATTTGTGGGTTTGGTTGAGCAGGACGACAAGTCTCCTTTCTTCTTGGGAGAGAGAGGATTCATTTTAAATGGATTTTCTCCTCGTTCTATTCTCGTCCCCTTCCTTTCTCTCCTCGCCATCACAGGTCGTACCGTTTTCTGAGGAGAGATGCAACTATGTATAGGGCATCCAAAATCGGAACATTTTTAAAAACCGGGGAAAATTGATAAAACCAGAATTCGATTATTCTGATTTTTCGAAAAACATGCTTTTGCTTATTCCAAGTTTAGCAAATTTTGATAAACCGGTCTTCGAAAGTTTGTGCAAAAGCGTGTTTTAAAGTCCGAATTTTAAAAAAGTTTACAAATACAGTAAGCTACATTTTTTAAAACTTTGGGAATAAGGTGCAGACTTATCTCAAAACAACAATATCAAGCATTAAATATTTTACCCGGCAAAACCCGTTTTCGGTTAACACCCGTTTCATAAATTCGAAAACCCGATTTTGGATGCCCTATGTAGATGCAACTCTCCTCACTCCTCGATGCAACTTCACTTTTGTTTCGTTATCTTCGGTGCATCCAAATCTAAACTAGAACACAAAACAACCTTCCTCTTCCACACTTTCACCACGACTGCACGCCATATTTTTACTTTCCATGTAGAAATTAAGCGTGATTTTTTTAGGACAAATTTAAACAGTAATAATTTCTGAAGTTCCTCTTTAAAATTTCTCTCCAAAAAAATTCTCTACAATTTTACATACATATAAAAGGACCCAATCAATAATGACCGCACATTTTTTCTGAATTATCTCTCTTTCTCGGTGAAAATAAGCGACACAAAACATTTCTTTTCGTTGATTTGGTCCGTCGATGGGTGTGAGAAGAGAGAAATACATATCCGGAAAAGGAAGGAGATCTCTCAGAACTCTCGCCAGTGGCCGCGGAAGCGTGTGGGGACATTGTCCCTCTGTCTGTCCCCATGCTTATTCTATGTCCCATCATCTCCCCATGTTATTTAACGTGTATGATTGACGACAAGAAAATGCATTAAATTGGGGACACTATAAGTATGTTGTGGTCATGGCGCGGGAGGAGAAATTCAGGAGTTTTTAATAAAACTCGAAAAACTGAAAAATCAAAAATTTAACATTGCGTTGTATAGGGAAATATCCAAATTTTTGGGAAGAGAATCTTCAAATTTAGCATTGTGTTGGCATAGGAGAAATCCCTCAAAATTGCAACAAACTTTAGGTCGCGGAGAGAAAATGGTGAAAATCAATGACCTCCTAGAAACGACAATTGTCGTCCTTCCGCGCCATGACCACGATTTTTCAGGACGACTTTTGTCGTACTCCCGAATTAAACCAGTTCTTATAAAACGACTGTTGTCGTCGTTGCAGTTTAAAGGGTTAATACCTCCCTTCTACAATGTTAACTCTCCCTAATGTCCCGACACCTTCCGCGGCCCCTGTTTCTCTCTCTTCACTTTCTCCTCTTCGTAATAACATTTATCCGCGTGTGCGAGCAGAGCGACCGGTGAATTGTGTCCACATTAAAGATGAATGAAGTCGGATTGTTGTAGGAGCAGCTCAGCCAGCACGAAATAGAAATGGAAAATGAAAGAAAAGTCGCTCGTCGCCCTTTATTCCTTCGTTTCGTTACCCTCCGAATTTTGGAGCGATGATGATAAGTGCAGGACTCGTCGTCATCCCCACTAAATGAATAAGTCGATGTTGCATCCTTCACTGGAGCAGATTAGATCACGAGACAATTCAATTCTTACCAATTTTAACGTTCTTTTTCTCTCTTCGAAGTGACCGAATACTGGAAATCGCTGCGAATGCTGCAGTAAACTCGTGGCTTATTGTATTATGCAAAATATTTTTGGCATAATCCTGCACAAAATTGCTATGCGTTTTATTCTGCAGAATTGTATGTGCATAATTCTGAGCACAGTTTTCTGCACAAATCGCTACGCATCAAGTTTTTCTGTGGAAAATTTCTGGAGAAAAGGTGATCACATTTTTGAGTAGAAATCATCGTGTCGAATTTTGCAGTAAACTCGATGCATATTGTAATATGCAAATTTATATCTGTTTTATTCTGCAGAACTGCTTGTGCATAATTGTGCACAGTTTTCTGCACAAATCACTCTTCGTAAAGTTTTCCTGTAGTAAATTTGGGCAAATTTCTGTACGAAGCGACAATATTTTGATGTATATTTTTTTGTAAAATATTGCAGAAATTTTCCACACGTTACACTCTTCAACTGTAAATATGTGCATAATTCCGCACATAGTTTTCTGCACAAATCGCTCTTCAAAAAGTTTTTCTGCACAAAATCGGAACAAAATTTGTGCAAAAATCGTGCCAAATTTCTGCCGGAAACCCATATTCAAATTTTTCCCCTTTCGAACTATTAATGTGACCAACGTCACAATTATAATAAAGAATAGATTATTTTTCTCTAGGTTATCCCGTCCCGGCCGCGACTCCGTGCATCAAAGCGATCTCCCCCAGCGAGGGCTGGACCACCGGCGGCGCCACCGTCATCATCATCGGCGACAACTTCTTCGACGGCCTCCAGGTCGTCTTCGGGTCAATGCTCGTCTGGTCCGAACTTATCACGTCGGTAAGAACACATCCATCACCACTTTTTTTATTACAAGTGTGGACAAAATATTGGGTCAAAATGCAGTATTTTGAGCCCAGTTCTTCCCAGGGTTTTAATTTCCGTGGGGTGTTACACCCACAAAAAGACGAAAATCCACGTGGAGAAGGCAATAGTCACGTGAGAATGCATGGTTTCTGAAGAAATTAACTTTTTATAGCAGTCAAAATACATGGTTTTCACGATTTTCTATAAGAATTTTTTTAAGAAATTATAATTTTACCGTTGTAATGTAAAATACTTAATTTTAAAAAATCGTGAAAAAATTCATTACTTTGAGAGCGATAAAATCTTAATTTCTTCAAAAAACCTGTATTTTTGTTTGACTGTTTCCTTCTCCGTGTAGATTTTCGTCTTTTTGTGAGTGTAACAGCCCCCGAAAATTCAAACCCTGGGAAGAACAGAGTTCAAAATACCATATTTTAACTAAGTATTTTGCCCCCCACTTTTTTAGTTCCCAGAAATTTTAATATTTTAATATGACCAATTTGCAGCACGCGATCCGTGTTCAAACGCCTCCCCGACACATCCCCGGCGTCGTGGAGGTCACCCTGTCCTACAAATCCAAACAATTTTGCAAAGGAGGTAAGGTGTCGGACAGGCTTAACAAAATTGCAGAATTTATCATCAAAAACAATTCTATACGAGCGATATTGTCAAGATTTTCCTTTTCCCAAAATTATTATTAAAGAATTTAATGAAAGATTCGAAATTATGAAGTTTTTAGCAGATTTAAAATTATTAATTTTTTACGAGATTTAAAATTGTGAATTTATTGGCAGATTGGATATTATTAAATTTTTTGTAGATTCAGATTCAGGAATATGAATTTCGTCACATATTAAAAATTATGTATAATTTCTTAGCCGATTAAAAATTATTAATTTTTTTACATTCAAAATTGTAAATTTATTATCAGATCAAAATTACAAAAACACTTTTCACAGATTAAAAAAATAAGGATTTTGAAGTAGATTCAAATTTATCAAATTATGGTCAGATTCAAAATTAAGATTTTTTAACAGAGTGGATGGAAATCGTTATTTTTTAACAGATTCAGAATTATGAACTTATTAATTAGCAGATTCAAAATAATCAATTTATCGACAGGTTCAACGATTCTTTAACACATTAAAAAAATACTAATTTTTTAGTAGATTCAAATTTATCTAATTATTATCAGATTCAAAATTATGATTTTTTAGTATATTCAAATTTATCAATTTGTTATCAGATTAAAAATTACGATTTTTTTAACAGATTCAGAATTATAAACTTATTATTTGGCAGATTCAAAATAATCAATGTATGATTCAGTGATTCTTTAACAGATTAAAATTTACGAATTTATTAGCTCTTTTAAAATTATAAATTCGTAACAAATAGTCTTTCTTAACATCATTTTCCTCATTTTTACTGCCATTTTGTAATTTCTCCCAATAATTTGCATACCGGCGATTAATTTACATATCACAATACCGCTCCAAAACCCCGAATTGTCTTTGATACCCGCAAACCTAACTTAAGCTCTGAGCGACACCTCATCCTCTTTGCTCCTCGCAGCCCCCGGCCGCTACGTCTATGTCTGTGAGTGCCGGACCACACCGGTTTCATCCAGTTACCCTTTTCCTCCAAAGTGCTTACATTCTTCATGTGCTAATCTTACAGCCTTGAACGAACCCACCATCGACTACGGCTTCCAACGACTCCAAAAACTCATCCCCCGGCATCCCGGAGACCCTGAAAAACTTCCAAAGGAAATCATCCTCAAAAGAGCGGCCGACCTTGCGGAGGCGTTGTACAGGTACAATTATATGTCATGACACGTGGTCAAAATACCGCATTTCCAGCCTTTTAAACCCATCACGTGTAGAATAAAAATCTAAAAACGTGTTTTTTGCAAAAATTCATCTTGGAAATTTATATTTTATCGGCGTCGAAATACTAAAAATCTCAAAAACAACTGCATCTTAGAAATTTAAATTCTATCGGTGTTGAAATATAAATTAAAAATCTCAAAACCATGGTCTTTGCAAAACTGCAACTGCATCTTGGAAATTTATATTTTATCGGTATTTTATCGGTATCGGTATCGGTATCGGTATTTTATTTATATATTTTTAAGAAATACTATACTTAAAAAAATGTATTTTGACATCAAAAATCTTTTTTTTTCTGGTATATTTTGCACGGTTTGGGAGGTCATTTTTTAAGAATCAAAAATCTTCAATTCCTTCACAAAACGTGTATTTTCGTAGGACTGTTAACCCTTTAACGTGAGGTCGCGGAGAGAAAATGGTGAAAATCAATGACCTCCTAGAAACGACAATTGTCGTCCTTCCGCGCCATGACCACGATTTTTCAGGACGACTTTTGTCGTACTCCCGAATTAAACCATTTCTTATAAAACGACTATTGTCGTCGTTACGGTTCAAAGGGTTAAAAATACGAATTCGAAATTATTAATTTTTTAGGAGATTCAGTACTATGAATTTTGATATTAGCCGATTCAAAATTATGATTTTCAAAACTACCAATTTCTATTCTTGTACGTAGATTCTTGTGTTTTTGTGGGTATACATAACACCCCTGGAAATTTAAACCCTGCTCAAAATACGGCATTTTGACACAATATTTTGCCCACTTTTGTTAAATAACCCACCAGAAATTTAAACCAACTAATTTTCTCCTTAAATTTCCAGTATGCCCAGAAACAATCAACTCTCTTTAACCGCTCCGAGAAGTCCCGCCGTTCCGAATAATATGACCGGATTCAACGCCTACACGGGTCTCGAAACCGGAAATTCCCAGTGGAACGATGGTACGTGTCCAAAAAATACTCTTTTTAACATCAAACAGACGCCCCACGTACAATTAATAACACACACGTGCTTCACTTTTCGAAACACTATTCTCAAGATTCCTTCCTGTGCCAATGAAGTCAGCCGAAAATCTGGATTATTAAAAAAACCTAAAATAAATCCAATTAAATTTTTTTTCGGACGTCAAAGTTTCGCAATTTTGTCATATCCAACCAAACTTTCACCTTAAAATTAGAGTTTCGTTTTGTCACATTTACTGTATTACAAAGCAAGGCACGCAAGAAATACGAAGTCAAAAAAACTGCGAGAAAATTGAAAAAAAAACTTGGAGAAGCAAAGTTAATTGTATATTTTTTTTAATAATCCAAATTTTCTAGTTGATATTCCACCTTGAGAAATTTTTTTTTCAAAAGTAAAGCACGTGTCTAAATTTACGTCATAATTATTAAACTCCTCAAAAAATAATTCCACCCCGATAAAAAAATGATTGGCCATCTTTTCCACCCCCAAAAAATATCCCCCTGCCCAAAAAAACTTCCAATCACCAATCACCAAATAACTGTTTGATTTTGATGGTCAGGTTTTTTCTTCTAGAAGAGTACTCCACCTCGATGGGTGGTGGGGGCGGTGGGGGCGGCGGGGGACGGGGCAATAATAATAATAATAACGGGCTGGGCAACGGCTTGGGGGCGGTCAACGGGACGAACAATTCCTCATCGACGGGGTCCTCACCCAGAAACCAGGGCGGCTACGCGTCCTCCAACACGTCCACCCCACATTCCGCGTACAACTCGAACGGAAACTATTCCACTATGTCGCCCCCACATCTCACACCCTCCTCCGCCGCCATCTTCAATGCTGCTACGTCCTCTCGTAAGATATTTCTTTAAAAAAATCATATAATTTCTTTCGATAACTCATCGTCAAAATCAGCACATGAATTTATTTTACAATTCTGGACCACTAATTTTGGAGCTCCCAATTAAAAACAAATATGTGCACACTCCAGATTTTGACACTTTTCGAATTAGGGGATCTTAAACTTAAGAAGCCTTCAGAAAAATGTAAACTCATCGAAACTGACTAAAAAAACTCGCCAAAATTCGCACATTTTAATCATTTTTTCCCTTTGAGAATTTGTTTTAAAATTCTGGGCGACAAATTTGCCGTCAGTGAGTTGATTAATGAAACGATACTGATTTTTTAACCCAGTTTCGATAAGTTTCAATTTTTCTGAAGGCTTCCTAAACTTGAGATCTTCTCCGCCAAAAAATGTCAAAATCTGGACTGTATACATATTTCTAAAAAATGGGCATCTCCCTCCTTCACAAATTTCTCGTCCAGAAACTTTGAATAAATTCCTACAACAAAAAAAAAACGATAAAAAACGTGCTAATTTTGACGATCAGTAATCAAATTAAACATACGATAACTAAAATTTTAACCATTTCTCTCCCTCTTTTTCCAGCTCTTCGAAGTTGTCTTTGGTTCAAACACGCTTAAATTGTAAGCCCATCGTCGTCGTCGTCCCGTCGTCCTCATCATCTCGTCATCATCGTCATCATCATCACAATTTCCGTACGTATCTTCCTCCTCAGGCGACAACAACGATGTCATGAAGAAAAAACTCATCAATTTAACAAAACCTCGTCGATCTTCATACTTCATAAATGAATAAATACTGGATAAAAAATATACTCATCATCGTTTCATATCGTGTAAGATGAAAGAATTCTCCTGTAAAATTACACCTGTAAAAAAATACTTAATTCGTATACGGACCTGTAAATAAGTCACGTGTCTATCTAATTAACTAGTCGTGAAAAATATGAATACTTTTTCAAAAAAATTCATAATTCCTAAAAATATGTAAATATCTACAAATCCACAACGACGACTATTACTTAACTATCAAACAAAACGGCCATATCAAATTTCATCAAGTTAAAATTAATTAATTGTAATTAGAAATTTTAGACTAATTTTAACGCCAATTTGTAAAATTATTAAAAATAAAAATACGACTGACAATTTTTTTAAGTTATACCTAAATAATTAATTAATTCCCCTGCCCTCCTCCCCCCCCCAATTTTTACCACTAAATAAATCCCCCACTTACAATTTATACGTGCCAATAATAATCATAAAATCCGATCTGAGATTTTATGTCATCCAAAATATTTACCAGCAAAATAAAGAAAAAATAAGGAACAAATGCTTGCCGAACATATCAAATAGGTTAAAATTACACAAATAATTAATTCATAATTCATAATTATTACAAAAAATTTTTCAAATTTTATTTACAATTTTATTTGATTTTTTTATAACAGAATTTTTGTACATTCAAATTTTCTCAAATTCTTTTATTTTCTCTTACACACTTTTTTTGATTAATTTTTTATATTTTTTTTGTACTAGATAATCAAATTTAAAAACAAATGATGAGTTCCTACCTCTAGTCTGGTAAATATTTACATAAATTTACATATTTTCTTGAAAATGCTGTGCCATAATTTTATTTCTTAAAAATAAAATTAAAATCCCAACAATACTCGGAGAACTGAAATACAGAAATTGTAAAGCGTTAAAAGTAAATATACATACATGTAAATGTCTCAAATCAGTATTGCTAATTTATTTAGGATTAATTAATTAGTGGATAAATTTAATTAAATATGTATGTAAATTAGGTAGTTAGCGTGTGAAATTTCCTTTTTATTTTAGAGTCAGCCAGGTCAAAAAAGAGTCAGTTCGTTCGTTCGTTCGTACGCAGTTAGTTAAATAAACAGTTAAAAATAATTGGTTGTTGGTTGAATTGAATGTGCAATAGAAATTTATGTATGTAATCACACTAAAGTTTAATGGATGACGTAAAAAGGAATAAAAAATAAGACTACAAAATGACCCATGAAACATAGCCGTGTCTATTTTTATTCGAGGAAATAAGGGAAATGATCTACATCATTTTTCATGTTTTACTTTTTTTTAATCATAAAATTTCATAAAAAAATGATGTAACAGGATAAATTTCATGATTTAACGTGTAGTCCCGACAAATGTTTTTTAGGATAAATGACACCGCATGCATACAAATAAAACCCAGGGCGCAGCTTCATTTAGCCCGAGACAGGGTGTTACTAATACATAATTAAGGTGGGTATTATACAACCACAACAACTTTAAATCATTTAAATTTTTGCACACATTTTTCCTAATCTTCCAATTCGCTTCTAATTTTGCATGTTCTACATGTATCAAAATTTTCAACTCGATTGGAGAAATTTTACTAGCGTAATCGACAGACAGACAACCATGACTAGTACATAAGACCTGACTCGGGCTAAAAACATGCAAATTTCACATTTTAGCTAAATAACGTCAATATTTCGGATTTCAAATGTAAAAAATAACCTGCACTGAAGCCTCATTTGGCCCGAGTCAGGTTGTTTTTAATAAGTTGTGTCCAAAAGTTCAAGTAAGCTTTACTCGATACACAGACAGACAATCATGACGAGTACGAAAGCTCTGACTCGGGTTAAAAATGACGTGTATAAATGTTTACGGTATTTATTACTGTATTGGAGGAAATATATTCTTCATAATTTTTCTTGTTTTACAAAAAAATGACGTACAAAGTTCACAATTTAACACAAACCGAAGAAATTTTTTAGGATAAATAAATGACACCACTTACATAAAATCAGGACAAAAATGCATTATGCTTTCATCATACTTACATAAATGTGTTAAAGTTTGATATCAATGCGCAACGAGCAGATAGATAAGCGCATATCAGAAGCAGCAGGTCAAAAAAAGTCATCGTGTACACACATACATAGTTGTCCTCTCAGTCACCACAAAATGTACAAGCTGTATAGCACGAGCTGTCAAGAGGCCGGATAAGTATTTATTTTCAACCTTTTCATTTTATCACGGTCAAACTTTGTCCTTAACTTTAATAGAGCATACAAATTTCAAAATATTCTTTCCTTTCATATTGTCACACATTTCCAGGTTTTCAGAAATATTCATAAAGGTTTCCCCTAAATATGGAAATCTGTGAACGGCATATTTTTTTTCAAAATACATATATATTGTAAAAATTTCATTTCAACGAATTTTGCCACAAAAAAGTTCAGAGTATTAAATACAGATAAATTCAAGAGTATAAATTTTTCCAAAAGTCTTATACATATTCATGTTTTTTCATATACATATTTCGGAAATGTTTTGACATTTTTTTCCAAAATATATATTTCAGCAATTTTTTCCTACATATATAAATACATATCCGCCCTCTGCTCAATTATCGATCCTTATTCATTGATATTGGTTATTGGTAACTGCACTGTCTGGTCTGGCCTTGTGTTTAATAATGTTGAAAATTCGCACGAATCATCATCCTCTTTATCGTAACCACCTTCTTTTTCGCACACTTTTGTCCATTTCTGCTGATCCTGGTTCACCCTTTGACTCCAACATTTATAAACAATTTCTTCATTTTTACCCCCCAAAATAAACCATGGCTGACAAAGCCAAACCCGCCCTTAAACCCCCCACGGGGGGAGCGTCCGGCTTTTTTCGGAGATTATGGAACACCCTCATCTTCTACAGGGTCGGAGTCCTCGCAAACTTAATAGAAATCTTTACATTTCATAGGAAATTCGATTTACAAAGTGAGCACAAATCCATCCCGGCATACGTAAATTCATAATTTGTCCCGTCATGAATTATTACGTAACAAATTCAGAAACATAATTTGTCATGAATTTCTGCAGAGGTGCCTCGTCGCCCGGGCGAGGTGGCCGTCGTGACCGGGGGAGGGAGAGGAATCGGGATTGAAATCGTTAAAAAATTACTCATCCTGGACATGCACGTCGTAATCGGTATAATCCCCACAATTTTTTACCCCCTACAAAAAAGTCGGAAATATTACTGCATTTTGAGCCCAGCTCTTCCCAGGGTTTGGATTTCTAGGGGTGTCATATATACCACACCCATAAAATCTACGTGAAGGGGGCAAAAGTCGTACGAAAATAAGATGCAGATTCATAATTTTCTTCATAATTTTCAAAAAAATTCAGTTTCTACTTCTCCATAACAAAGATTGCACCTATTTGTGAAAAAGTATTTGATCAAATTTCTTGTTTGGCGTTGAACTTACTCTCATTGTCAGTCAGGTCAAAATACTTGGATGAAATGCAGCATGTTGGACTCCGATGTTCTCAGGAAATTTGGATTTCCGGTGCTGAGACACCCACAAAAGACCAAAATCTGCGTGGAAAAGGCAAAAGTCTAACGAAAATACAGGTTTTGTGAAGAAAATAACATTTTATCGCTGTCAAAATCTTTCATGATTTTTTAAATATTTACACAAAAGTTTAACGGCGATACATGTAAAGTTAATTTCTTCATAAATCATGAATTTTCGTTATCTTCTGCACGTATGTAGATTCTCATTTTTTTGTGGGTGTAACAGCCCTGAGAATACAAACCCCCGAAGCTCAAACTAATGTATTTTGACCACTCCTGCAAAAAAAAAACTTTGTCAATTTCCAGGCTGTCGAAATAAAGTCTCTGGGACCGAAGCGGTCGAAAAACTACGAAATTCCGGAATCGTCACCGGAACAACGAACGTACTCGCACTCGACCTCACGTCGCTCCAATCCGTCCGCGATTTCGCTAACAAAATCATCGTCAAGTATCCTAAAATTCACATCCTCATCAACAACGGTATGTGTCCCATTTTTTCATAAATCTAGCTTTCAAAATTTCGGAATCAATTTCAAAATCAAAATTTTAAAATCAGGTGGGATCATGTCTGTTCCCTACAGCGTCACCGAGGACGGAAACGAGTCTACATTTCAGGTCAACTATCTCTCCCACTTCCTCCTGATTAATCTCCTCCTCCCCAAACTAATCCGTGGGGGACGGTCCGGACGAACCAGTCGGATCGTCAACGTCTCCTCCGCCGCGCAGTACGGGGGCAAAATCGACTTTGACGATATCAACATGACGTAAAACTTCATAAATATAACTTTATTATCACCAAAATCGTAAAAATTAGCATATTTTTAATCATTTCTCCACTCTGGAAACTTATTTTAAAATTCTGGACGACCAAAATTTGTAATCAGTGAGTTGATTAATTGAATGACGTTGAGTTTTTTGAGCCAATTTCGACGAGTTCCAATTTTTCTGCAGGCTTCTTAAACTTCAATTCTCCTCCGCCCAACCAAAAGGTGTCAAAACCTGGACTGTACATTTTCAAAAAAATTGGCAATTCAAAAACGGTCAAAATTTGGAGTGCATATTTTTACAAACTTACGACGTGCTCTATAAATTTCTAGTCCAGAATTTTAAAATAAATTCCCAGAGGAGAGAAATGATTTAAAATGTGTGTATTTTATTTTATGATGAATCATCCAGCCTTACGATAATTTAAATATTAATTAAAATCTAATTTGCATATAGGCAAATGTACTGCAAATCGATGGCCTACATGTCCTCCAAACTGATGCAAGTCGTGTCCACGAAGCATCTCAACGCCAAGCTGGAGAAGGAAGGGGTGCACCTCCGCGTCTACGCCGTCCACCCAGGCGTCGTCCATACCGATTTGTACAAAAATATGGGCCTCATTCTCACCTTCAAATTCTTATTCAGATTTTTTTACAAGGTAATTAATTAAGCTGGAATTAATTTAATTTCCCCCAATTCAACCTCTTTGCATGCAAATTTCCGAAATGGCATCAATTTCGCGTATGTATTTTGGGATAAATGCAAACTTGGTATTATGAAAGTATCGATAAAAAAATTGCTCCAACTCCATTAGCAGTTTTTTTTCGAAATAAATTTCATTAAAAATTAATTCGCTAATTTTTTTTAATTGATCGTTCCATAATTAGGACCACAATTTAACTTTGTATCAAAGTATGAAAAATTACAATTAACAATTTACAATTCGCTTAGGACTTAAGGTGCTTTGGGATGACGCGTTGGTCTGTCATTTTTAATACTAGTCCGCCCCAATTCAACCGTTTTACATGCAAATTTCTTAAATGGCATCAATTTCGCGAATTGTCAGATAAATGCAACTTTTTATAGTTTTGTGTAATTAATAATACCAAACTAATTTTTGCCAGTACAAAACACTGTCAAGTTGAAAACAATTGGTGAGTTCAGTTTTGAGGAAATTTATTGAAAATACTATAAAATCAAATAAAGTTTGGATAAATATTAATTTATTGAATAACAAGTTAGGTGCAAGCAGTGGGAAATGAGAATGACAATTCTTTTTTGGAAATAGTCGTAAAAAATTCGAATTAAATTGTTTGGTATGTACGTTCTCAAATTTCTCAAATTTCTCAAATTACTTGAAATTTCTTGTTTTTTAATATTTCATTGTTTATGTGAATGTGTTTAATATAAAATTTCATATGAATTTCAAATTCTGTCGCAAAATGTGAAAGTCCAACGTCGAAAAATATATAATATACTAATTAAAATAAGCTGCAATTTATTTAGATGCGTCGATTTGCAGTAACAAATAATTTTGTCGTCAAAATTTTAAATTAAAAAGAATAATTTTTGAAACAAAGTTGAACTTTTCAACTTTTTCTACTATAAGTAGTTAATTGTCAATTTTTCTAGGTTTCCTGAATTTCACAAGCATGATCTGGATTGAATTTTTAATAATGGGTGTGGCAGCCATGCATGTTCTTCCAGATTATTTTCAGACAATATGTAATCCACTAAATACAAATAAGTTTTGTGTAAAAATTAGGACACGACTGGTTGTTGCAAATTTAAAGCAAAATACTGTTTTCCTCGAATTTTTAATTTTGTATCAAAAACTTCAATGGAAAAATTGTAAATTGTAAATTTTCATAAAATTTAGCTATTTTTTAAATATCGAATTTGCAACACGATTTCCGAAACGATTGTAGCACTTCAAAGTCGAAATTAATTTGGCAAAAAATCAATAATCTGTAAATTTGATTTTAGATTCGGTTTAGGTCCATGATAAGTAAAATACTTGTTAAAAACGTATTATTTAAAAGATAAGGCTAAAATTAATGAAAATCTGAGCAAAAAAATATTTTGCAGCAAATTAAACAAACTTCAAAGTCGATATACCATTTTGCATATTTTATAAATTCATAATTGCCGTTAATTATTAACGGCAAGATTTCCGAGACGAGTAACATTACAAAGTCGAAATTCGTTTCAAAATCCAACAACTGGTCCATTTGATTTTAGTTTCGATCTAGATTCATGACCACATACTCGTTAAAATTGAAAAAATTATAAATGGATTAGCAATCCTTTTCAAATTGATAGTTTCGAAGTGACAAAAATTAACTTATTAAAAAAAGTATGAAAAGTAAAAGAATTTGGTAAACTTCGGTGCCACAAAATAAATTTTGTAGCTTGTTTTTAATATGTTTCGCAAAGTACTTTAATGCATACTTAGTTTTTGGTAGTACAAATCTATCAATTTTCAAAAAATAGCGAATTTATTTTAGAGGAAATTTTGTGTGAAAAAAATGACAAATTAATTCACTATTAAATATTATTTCCAAATCGATAGTTCTGTCCTACAAAAATTAACTGAATATTGTAAAGTTTACATAAAAGTATAAAATTCTGCATAATTTATCCCAAAACTCCATTTTAAAAATCTAGAAAGTTAGAAAATTTTAATCCATTTTAGAAAATCCCATTTTTCATATTTACTTTAAATGGTTGAGTTAATTTTTGCCACTACAGAACTATCGATTTGAAAAGGATTCCTAATTCATTTGCCATTTTACCTATCGCACAAACTGCCTGAAGAAACGTTAGGTTGTATTGACTTGGACCACGTAAATTCAAAATTTCAACCAAATCGGAGGGTTCCACTTACACCATCGCATTGTTAGCATTACCACATGAAAAGTTTCATTTATGTGACGACTCGTGAAATTGATGCCATTTTAGAACTTTGCATGCAAAGAGATTGAATTGGGGTAGACTGATACTAAAAATCTATGCCATCCCAACTCGTCATAGTCGTCATCCTATAGCACCTTAAACTTAACCATAATTTAAGCTTAATCTTAATGCCTTTATTTCTTTCTTTCTTCAGACCCCAGAACAAGGCGCCGACGGCGTCCTCTACGCCGCCATCTCCTCCAAATTCGAGGGGGAAGGGGGCCACTTTTTCTCCAACTGTAAAATCAGCTCGGTCAACAAGCTCGCCACGAAGTCCTCCGTGGCCCAAAAGCTGTGGGACCTTTCCTGCCGAATGACTTCCTGGGAGGACATCCCGCTCCACGAAATCGTCAAAAGCACCATGATCGCCGTCCGAAAAGGTCCCTCCGTCACGGAACCCCCGCCCCCACAAAATGCCCTAAAAAAGAACAACGCCGACCGGAAACGGAAGGAGAGCGAGGCTAGAAAACAACTCGAGCGCCAAGAACGCGTCGACATGGACGACGGCGTCAAAGTCGTCGCGGCGCCACAATCTGCCGCCCCGCCCCGAATTTCGATCGCTTCGGCGTCATCCTCCTCAATTTCATCGTCCCTTTCGACCAACACGATCGTCGGGAATGACCAAGTCGCGGTGGTCATTATTCCCGCGACGGCGACGGAAGCGAGCGACAGTGACGAGGGGGACGGGGACGATGTCAGTTTTAGCGGAAAAGTGGACGATACAAGAAAAGAAGAGCAAGATGTGTCGTTGTCTTCGTCGTCATCTTTGGTCAGCAATGACACCTCGGCGACGGAAGTCGTCACTTCCGAGTTTGTCTCAACTTGTGTGCCCTCTTCGTCGTCGTATCAAATTCAAGAGGACGATAGCGTCGCCACAATTTCAAAAATTGAAAAGTATGACGATAACGTCACCAAAAATAGTGTCAGTGTTTCAGAAATTGAACAAAATGACCACAGCGTCACCACAAATGGTGTCAGTATTTCAAAAAATGAACAAAATGACGATTCCGTAAAAAATGGCGTCACTATTTCCGAAATTACGGATGAATTCGATTTCCTCGAGGAAGAATAAGAACTCGACAAAAATCATCTTCCTCCTCTTCAGTCGTAAATATGTAAATTATAAATTAATTAAACTTAAATGTAATACTAAAACAAATAAATGTTTAAATATGCAAATGAGTCGTCCTTTGGCTTAACGTGCAACAATTTATTTATTACCAACAACAAAAATATAATAATAATATAACACCACTTCCGTCGTAAAATAAAATAAAATCCACAAATTAAATATGCTTCAAAACCGTCATCTTTTGTGTATTTATGTAAATGTGCAGACAAGTTCATAACACGTGTCGTCCTCGTGTTTTATGACCACGTTCCATCGGTCTCCTCATTCTTCGCCCCCCTTCTCCCCGATACCCGCCCTCCTCTTAATCTCGTTCCCATTCTGGGTCGGAATATACATATTGCTCGGCGTGATAAGAACCGGGTCACTCAGCCCCACCGGTTTCGGGTCCTGCACAAAAACGGGTACGGGCTTATCTTGTACCTTATCGCCGCCCAACACTCTCGCACCTCCCCCCATTCCCCCCATTGCCCCTCCTGCCCCCACTCCCCCCGTCGCAGCCTTCATCACATTCCCAAACAAATCCCACATCGCTCCTGACAGCGACACCTTCACAAACGATGCCACGCCCTGGATCACTTTCGTGCTCACGGTGGACAGCGCCGTGCCCACCGCGCTCATCGCGGCCCTCGCTTCCGCCTCCTTTTGCGCATCATGCGATCCCTGCGCTTTCTGGACGATGTCCAAACTGCGGGAGATCGTCGTATTGAGCATTTCTGTCATGAGGGTGGCGACGCTTTTGACGATGGCGTTGGTCATTTCGGAGCCCAGCGTGTGCTTCATGTTTCTCTGGGCGAGGCAGAGAAAGTCGCCGGGCGGGCAGGGCGGTGGCAGGGAAGGGGTGGAGGACGAGGACGAAGACCGGTCTGAGGGGAGGACGGAGGGGTAATATTTCTCGAAAAAGGAGGGTTCCGGCTCCGTCGGGGTGTTGGCGAAGAGCGGCGTCACCCCGTAGTTCGAGCGGGCGACGGTGTCCTCATCTAATTAGCAATTAATTTGCAATTAATTTCTGCATATAATTTTTGCATGCAAGTTTTGCATTTTTTGAACGTATATATATATGTAACTTTTGAGTATGTTTTGTAAATATAATTTTAATTTTGTAGTTAATTTTTATGGTAGAATTTTGAATAAAATTTGTACATACAAGTTTTTTAATATAATTTTTATATGCAATTTTTACATATAATTTGTAATGGAATTTTTGTATGTGACCAATTTTTGCATGAATGTAAACCCTTTTTTTCATATATTTAATTTCTGCATATAATTTTTTAATGCAGGTTCAACATAAAGGTGTACAAATTCTGAATATAATTTTCGAATATAATTTTGAATATAATTTGTAACTTTTCCATATGCATATAACTTTTGAGTATATTTTTGGAATATATTTAATTCGTATACATTTTTTAAATTAATTTTTGAATTTTTTTTACCATATAATTTTTTCCACATTTATGAAATTAAGAATCCTAATTAACAAACCCTATTAATTAAGGTTATCTATAATTATACATACCTTTAAGAAATGCGGCGTCCCTTATACTCTGCAATAATCCGGCGGACGCATAATCCTGCCCGAGTAAAATCGTGGATACGAAAATCACAAACACTTTTCTGCTCTCCATTTTTAGGAACAACTTCAAATTCAAAAACTTCAAATTTTCAAAATTTCCTAAATCACGTATCACTATTTCCCCACACGGAACGATCCTACTTGTTTCAAGTTGAATGACCAAATGACCAAAAATCTAACCTTTTACATATTACTCATATACATATCAATCTTAACGCATCATAGCTCACTTCCGGTCCACTCTTTCGATAGCGTCTTTTTGCCTGATTGTGCAGGAAGTTAGACGTCGCAGAATTCACGAGAACAATTAAACGTGACATAACTAACATAACATAACAATCATACATCATTTTTGGCATTAAATAACACTCTTTAATAATGTGGACGAGATGACGATCACTTTTTTTCTAAGACATAAATAATGGTAGCCTAACCTGACCAGACCACCTTTACACATTGGTCACCAACTAAACCAATCTGTACACCTACATATTATTTGCACATGCAGAAAAAAACTTTCCCTTTCTCTCTCTCGAAATGAAATGAAATGAAGCGACTCATTCACTATAACCCCCATTTATTGCAATTATTGAAGTGCATAATATGTGTAAAGAATGTTTACATTTATTTCAAAATTTTTCCTTGTCATTACAACTTTTGCTTAAAGTTCATTGTGAATGTGAAGGTGGTGGCAGTAATGGGATGTAATTCGCGAAAGACCGGTTTTCCCAGCAGACTCGTCACTGAATTGCACTTTGTGGCGTGACTATGTATACAAATGTAGTGTCAAATTTAGGACGCTTAACACAATATCAAGGATGATTAAAATTCTTGTCAAAATAGAGGGGGACCTCAGACACACGAAAAAATCGTCGCTTCGAATTTCGCTTTGTTTTTCGCTTATCGATATCATGGCCAAAATTATGAAATTTGCAAAATTTTGTTGAGACTTCAGCTAAGCGACCTTAACCCCACTTCTGAGTTGAGTTTCTGTTCGCTTACCCCAGAGCTCGCCTATCAGGAAGTAAGCGAAAAACGAAGCGAAATTCTAAGCGACGATATTTTCGTGTGTCTGAGGAGGCCCAAAATATTTTGTAGATGCCAAAATACAGAACAAATCATGAAAACAATATGTTTTGGCAGGGATAAAAAGTTAATTTCTTCATAAAACCCGTATTTTTGCCTTCTCCACGTAGATTTTCGTCTTTTTGTGGGTGTAACCACCCCGGAAATCCAAAATCTGGGAAGAACCCAGCTCAAAATACTGAATTTTGACAAAATATTTTGAAAATTATGAATTTAAAAGTTCAATTTTTCACCCACTTAATCTGCGGCATGCATCATGGACGCCCGGGTATCGGGGACCTTCCTGTATTTCCCCTTCTTCCAGGCGAGGAAGCCTCTGATGGAGTCCGTCAGGCAGAGTTTGATCTCCGTCTCCTCCGTCGGCGGGGGGCACCAGACCTTCTCCCGCACCGCCATGGGGGTTGGATAAGCCTTCTTCGCCACCAGGTTCGCGGGGCCCCAGTCCAGACGGGATGCCCGGCCGAAGACGAAACCTTCCTCGGGCGTCACCGTGGGGTGCTTCATTTTCAAACCGACGTGCAAAAGACGGGCTTCCAGGGCCGTGCGGAGGTCTGCGGGCGCAATATTTCAGGGGGAAAGGTCAAAAATGGAAGTATTTCAGATTTCATAGGTCAAAAATAGCAATATTTCACGTGTCAAAGCTCAAAAATGTAAAAATTTCGAATGTCAAACATGTCAAGATTTCAGATTTAAAACGACAGAAATCTCAACATTTCCAATTTTGAAAGACAAAGATGTCAATATTTCAAATTTAAAGCGTCATAAATGTCATGATTTATGATTTCAAAGATCAAAAATGTCAAGATTTCTAATTTCAATTGTTAAAAATGTCAAAATTTCAGATTTCAATAGTCAAATATGGTAAAATTTCACGTGTCAAAGGTCAAAGTGTTAATATTTCAGATTACAAATGATAAAAATTACAATATTTCAGATTTAAATTCTCAAAAAATGTAAGTATTTCAGATTTCAAATTTCAAAAATGTCATTATTTCACATGTCAAACGTTAAAAATGTCAAGATTTCACCCATAATTATTTATGACGCCACGTACCTTCCGACTGTTTCTGAATTCGCATGCACTACACGACCCAAACGAGAAAAATATTAAAATCAAAATCTTGGCCCACATTTCAATCGTTGCAAATACCTTGAGTTTTTGCCTCTCCAAGTGCTCGTCTCTGCGATCGAGGAGGTTTTTGTACGGCTGCGACGTCCTCGCGAAGCTCTCCGGGTTCGGAAAATGTCCCAAAAGACGATTCTTCTCAGCCCGATACTTCCTCACCTCCTCCTCCGCCTCAAGCTCCACTTTCTGCAGGTCGTACCGCGTATGATAACCAGTCACCACGTCCCCAATCAACGTTTCACAGCTAGTCAAAAATGGGATCATAAATTATTATGCAAATTATGTGAGTTGCCTCAATGTCTCATCGCCGAAATCGTCAAAATAATCATCACATTTTGAACCACTTCTCCGCCCTCACGATTTAATATAAAATTCTGAGCGACAAATTTATAGATCAGGTCCTAACTTTTTTTAAATATGTACTCCAAATTTTGACCGTTTTTGAAGGAGGAGATCTCAAGTTTAAGAAATCTTCAGAATAATTGGAACTGGCTTAAAAAAACTCAGCTCCATTCCATTAATCAACTCACTGACTACAAATTCGTCGTCCAGAATTTAGAAATAAATTCCCATAGCTCAGAAATAATTAAAATTGTTTCGATTTTCACAATTTTGATGAGTTTTGAGCCGTTTTTGACGAGTTCCAATTTTTCTGAAAGGTCCTTAAACTTGAGATCTCCTCCTTCAAAAACGGTCAAAAACCGTCGTCTATATTTTTAGAAAATTGGCAACTCCGCCCGCTCTACAAATTTTGTCGTGCAGAATTTTAAAATAAATTCTCAGAGAATTGATTTTAAATGCGCTGATTTTGACAATTTTTATGATTATAAGTCATCCTTAAAAAATAAGTTTCCGACGCACTTAGCCTTGAGCCGGTCTCTTTCCGCAGTGATTGCTTGGAATGTGTGGACGAAGGAGCGGAATTCGCCCTTTTTCCGATTCACGTCCTCCAACGTGATGGCGACCTCTCTCTTCGTCGTTTTTATTCCTTGCCTCGTCCTCACGATGAAGTCGTGCTGTGCAAAAAAAGTGTGCAAATTTTCAATCAAAATTTCATTGAAAAATTTTTCGCACATACTTTGACCCGATTCCGAACATACTCCTTCTTCAACATGGGCATCTTTTCGTCCGCGTCCCGCATCAGGTCTTGATACTCGCAAATTTGGTCTTGATACTGCACACGTGGACGAGAAATTTATTAGCATTTTTTTTCGCAAATTATTTTCTAATCAGCATATTTTTTTGCAATAATTTAAAGCAGACATTTTTTACGCATGGTCAAAAACTCTCAGTTGTTTTTGCAAACTTCTTTAATTAGTATTTTCTCTCATAATTTAAATCATCATTTTTCCTATAATTTTAAATAGCGTATTTTTGCACATGGTAAAAAAACCCGCAGCTTTTTTTGCAAATACTTAATTCAAATCAGCATGTTTTTGGACATGGTTAAAACCTTGCATATTTTTTTCAATGGTCAAAAACTCGCATATTTTTGCCATAATTTAAAGTTGCATATCTATTTTTTGCCATAATTTAACGCACTAGATATTTTTGCAAAGGGTCAAAACTCCGAGTTTTTTTCAATTACAATTTTTTCCGCATAATTTTAAATTCTCCCAATTATTTTTATCCCCAAAATTTTCTCCAAAATTTCCTTACCAAATTTCTTTTCCGCATGGATTCATTAATCAAATCTTGCAGGGTACAAATCAACGTCAAATTACTGTGCGTCGTGTCATTATAATATGTTTTCATAGCTTCAAATTGCAGCTCAAAATTTCGAGATAATTTCCAAATAAATTCACCCCATCGTTCTTCAGTCTGAAAATTTCAAAATTTTAATTAATCCGACTTCCAGAAATTTAAATTTTTATTTTGAAACCACACCATTTGAAACTCCATTCGTCTCGTGAGGTGGAAAAGATTCATGGAATTTTCCATCTGAATTTCCAAATCTTTCGTAAATTGGTTCAACTGATTGGCATGATCGTCCATATATTTCTGAAGATCGTCCAATTTGTCCCTGATCAAAAATTCGAAATTTGTTAAGGAATTTTCATAATTAAATATTTATTTATTATAAAAATTGCGATTATTTTTCATATTTTTTTACTGTCAAAGTTGTAAGCCTCAAAACCTTTTCCAAAATTTTGCAAATACATTTATTTCAAATATAAAAATGTAGGTACAATTTTTGTTTTAAAAGACAAATGCTGTCAAATTTCAATGATTTTACATTTTCAGCAAAATCACGAAATTTAAATACCTGTAAATTCAAATATTTATGGTTTTCCGTACCCCGTCCATAAATGTTCTAGCGTTTTTTTTCAAACAAGCATATATTTCTTTCTACTATTTTTTTAAAAGTACGTATTTCAAAAATTGTGAAAGGATTTTGTTGAAAAACTGGACTAGACAAAAATTTAAATTAAAAACTAATAATAGTTTCGGCCAAAGAAAGGTAAAAAATCCGTCTTTTCAAAAATATTTTGGTTTTTTACCGCAGTTTTGTATAATTTCTTACCGCGTGTCACCAATACTTTTTCTATATTTTTCCGCATTTTTGGCCAAAATGTCGTTCTGTTCTTCGATATCGGTCGCAATTCCTTGCCATTCTCGCTCCAGTAGGTCTTTCAACTTTTTCCTCCGGATCTCGTCCCGCACGTCCATCGCCGTGCAGTTGATTTGCGCATCGTACCGGAAATGTTTCCCCTCAAAAGTTCAAAATTTCATGAAATAAATATTTAACGTAGTAATCAACGCAAAAATTGTCAAAATTTGCACATTTTTAATCATTTCTCCGCTCTGGGAACTTATTTTAAAATTCTGAACGATAAATTTGCAGAGCAGGGAGTTACCAATTTTTTGAAAATGTGCATTCCAAATTTTGACCGTTTTTGAAGGAGGAGATCTCACGTTTCAGAAACCTTCAGAAAAATTGGAACTCGTCGAAACAGACTTCAAAAACTCATCGCCATTCCATCAATCAACTCACTGACTGCAAATTTGTCGCCCAGAATTTTAAAATAAATTCCCAGAGCCGAGAAATTATCAAAAATGCGTTAATTTTGACAATTTTCGTGACGAGTAATCGATTCCTAAAATAAGTCAACTTTTCTCCTCCAGAAAAACTATCTCTTAATTTATTTACCTCGATTGATTTGATGGTTTTATTGTCATCGGCGTCTTGATGCATCCGATTATTGTCCGCGATCTTCTTCTCTTCCTCAATCTAGATAAAAACATGCAAAAAATTCTGCACGCAACGAGGAGACCTTGCAAATTTTTAATCTAAATACGCCACTAACCATCAGACATCGATACTTTTTCCAGTAAGTTTCTTTCACCTGAAAAAAAAATAACAAATAAAATGCGAACCAGGCAGAACACTTTTCACTTTGCAAAATATATCCCTCGACATTTTTTGCGGAAATGGAAATTTAAACCAAAAAAATTGGACCCTAACAATGGAGGTCTCCCATCGTATGCTCTCCGATTTTGAGCAAATTAGTGTCAATCTATGACAAATTTGATTGGTATGAAATTTGCAAAAGACGCCATCTCCCAATGGACACCTTTGGCAGAGATATTTGCATCCGAAGAGGAGAAAACGCGTCTTCAAATCGACAAATTTCACACTTTCCAAATTTACTGCGGGTTATCTCCTCTTCGGATGCAAATATCTCTGCCAAAGGTGTCCATTGGGAGATCGCGTCTTTTGCAAATTTCATACCAATCAAATTTGTCACAGATTGACACTAATTTGCTCAAAATCGGAGAGCTTTATAAAGAAACTTTCAGAAATATAAACCTCAAAATTCAAAAAACTATCATTTCCTGACTCACATCGTAGAGGAAATCTCGTTCGAGTTGGAATCTGATCCTCTCCTCGCGACACAGGGTGACCTGTTCCTTCATCTTTTCCGCGGCCCACTCCAACTCGTCGCGGCGCAGGTCCACGGCGAAGACCTCTTTCCCCAGCTTGTCCTCCACCATGAGCGACCGGTACTTGGCGCGGAGCTTTTTTTCCTTCTTGCTCATTTTGGGGGGACCCTTCGCCCCCTTCTTCCCCTTCCCTTTGCTCTTCTTCTTCGACGCCATTCTTCCTCCTCCTTTTCAGATCAAAACCGTGGACGAGGTTGATTCTTTTTTGCAAAAAACAATTTGCGAAAATGAGATGATTCGCAATTTTGCGATGGGAATAATTAATTATTAATTAGTGCCAAGTTTTACTGTTTGTATTAATTTATTAAAGTATCAATTTTTCGTAGCAACCAAACTACCTAAAAAAAATTGAAATTGACTTCAAAGTTCTTCAAACTCAGCACATTTTAATTATTTGTGCACTCCGGGAATTTATTTTAAGATTCTGAACCGTAAATTTACAGGGGAAGTTATTGCAAATTTTGAAAAAAATATCCATTCCAGATTTGAACACGTTTTGAAAGATGAGATCTCAATTTAGAAAATTGAAACTCGTCGAAACTGGCTTAAAAAACAAACGTCATTCCATTAATCAACTCACTAACTGCAAATTTGTTGTCCAAAATTTTAATATAAATTCCCAGAACCGAGAAGTCATTAAAAACATGCTTTTCTTTTTTCAAAAGTTTGGTGATACATCATCGAGTCCTACATTAATTCCTTAACTTTCCCAATAATACAGACAGTAAATACGCATAAAATTTTAATTTCCAATATTTTATTATCACGAAAACAACAAAATTCATAAATATCATTTATTCATTTATTTATTTTATTTTATTTTTTTTTTATCATTTTCATCAAATACACATACATTTATAAAAAATATACAAAAGAGTCAGAAATTCATACAAAATTCTCTCTCAAAAAAGTCAAGGTTAATAAATAATTGACTTCAATAATCTTGACATAGATAAAATCGTAAAAAAATAATTAACATAATTAATCAGCTTAATTATCACGAGAGAACAAAACAAGCAAAAAAAATCCCCCAATTCATCCCCACAATTTAACAATTAACATAATAATCAGCTTAATTAACAGCGGAGAACAAAACATGCAAAAAACCTCCCGCCCCTCCCTTCATCTTGACAGTCTTCCATCTAAATCGAATTTTTCCTTTCCCGAACAACTCTCCGTTTTTCCTCCCCATTCACAATTCGGAGGACGGAAATTTTAGCGTGGGGGATATCTCTCCCGTCCCCGGGGGGCAAGTACTTCTGGATCCGGACTTGCACAAGGGGTTTGTCCACTTGGTCCAGAATCTTGGCGGATATTCCCTCCTTTCGCACACCTAAAAGTAGCCAATTAACATTTTATTAAAGTATAACTCATGGCCAAAATCCCCACATTTTTAATCATTTCTCTCCTCTGGTAAATTTATTTTCAAATTCTGGACGACAAATTTGTAAAGCAGGTCGTTCCCAACTTTTCAGAAATATGCACTCCAGATTTTGACACTTTTTGAAGAAGATCTCAAGTTTAAGAAGCCTTCAAAAAAATTGGAACTCATCGAAAAACTGGCTTCAAAAACTTACGGCCATTCTATTAATCAACTCACTGACTGCAAATTTTTTGGCCAGAATTTTAAAATAAGTTCCCAGTGGCAAACAAATAATTAAAAATGTGTTCATTTCGGTAATTAGTCATTCAGTCCTACGTTAGAAATGTAGCAACATTTTACTTACAGCTCAGGGACGCCGTGACCCCTTGCGGCTTCAGATGCGTGAAGAACAGTGGCAACTCTTGGACATCCGGTCCAGCACTGGAGTCCGATTCCAGTGGCAGAGAAAACCACAGGCCGTAGTCCATAAGCCGGAAAATCGCAACCGGAATCCCGTCCAGCGTCTCCTTCTTCAGCAGGACGCATCTGCAAAATAATTAATTAATTACAATTTAATCAACTTCTCATTTCTTAATTTATTAAATTAATTGTTCTCTCGAAATGGGCACATACTCCAAATCATAAAAAAATAGTTAACTTACGCCGGGTTTAGACTTCACGTTAGCATCACGTTCTCGTCCCAATCCGATTTTTTGATTGGCTAATCAAAAATATCACTAAGACAATTAAAAATTTCGACCAATCAAAAAATCGGATTGGGAGGAGAACGTGATGCTAACGTGAAGTCTAAACCTGGGGTTAGTAATTAATCAGCTTAATTACCCTGGGAGAACAAAACAAGCAAAAAAATCCCCCAATTCATCCCCACAAAATAACAATTAACATAATTAATCAGCTTAATCACCACGGGACAAAACATGCAAAAAAATCCCCCCGCCGCCCCCTCCCTTCATCCCCACAATTTAACAATAAACATAATTAATCAGTTTAATCACCACGGGAGAACAAAACATGCAAAAAAATCTGGGAACATACATACGCTGCTCCATCATTAATTAATTAATTACAAACTAAATCCCATGTAAATCCTCACCTCGTCCACTTATCCAGTTTCTGGTAGAAAACTGCGTACCACTTATGCTCCACCAGCCTCACCGCGTTCCTCCCTCCAGCCACTTTAACTTGAAGATATTCCCCCAAAGTGGTCTCCATGTCGAGCAGGAGATTCCCACTTTTGTGCTGTCTCAGCTATTAAAAATAATCCCCCAATTACAAAATTAATTAACATAATTAAATTCGTTAAGAATAACTTATATATTTTCGTAATACCGCCAAATTATCCCCGAAAACTTGCGTCACGTGGAACAATGCGAGCTCCCCGTCCGTTTGGGACTCGGTGGTCGTGAAGAATTCGGAGACATCGGCCCAATCCGCGAGTCGGACGGCGCCGGAGGTCGCGAATTTCCCAAAGTCGACTTCCTCACTCGCAAAACTCCCGTTGTTCTTGTCGAAAGACGAGTTCAGCGAGGTCAACGGGGTCTTCGGAACAGGGGCAAGAGGGGCCGAAGATGTGGTTGGTACGGGGGGAGGAGGAACGAGGGGTCGGATGGGGGCGACAAAAGCGGGGCGGTTCGCAGGGGTCACGGGAGGACGAGGAGTGACGACTCCTGGAGGACGAGCAGTGGTGACCGCTGGAGGACGAGGGGTGACGACCACTGGGGGGCGAGGGGCGACGACCGCTGGAGGACGAGGAGAGATGACCACTGGGGGACGAAAAGTGACGATTTCTGCAGGACGAGGAGTGACGATTTCTGCAGGACGAGGAGTGACGATTTCTGCAGGACGAGGAGTGACGATTTCTGCAGGACGAGGAGTGACGATTTCTGCAGGACGAGGAGTGACGATTTCTGCAGGACGAGGAGTGACGATTTCTGCAGGACGAGGAGTGACCACTGGGGTGACGACCACCGGAGGACTAGTGACGACTACTGGGGATCGCGGAGTGACGACCACTGGGGGACTAGTGACGACCACTGGCGGACTCTTAGCCCCCAACCCAGCCCGCGTCGGAGCGATCACAGCCGTCGAAATGGGGAGCACCATCGCCGGTGTCACGGTTACTTTCGCCGAAGTGACGATTGATACCAGGCTGGACACAATTTCAGCCGGGGTGGGGGGGACGTCTCTTTTACCCGCGGGGGGAACGGGGACCACGTCTTTCTGCTTCGATCTGCTCGGTTTCTTGATAAACGCCAACCCCTTCTCGAGCAGCACATCGTTCACCGACGTTTCTAGCTTGCCCCTCAAGTACAAAGAGACACGTGGCCGCCGGAATGAACCCTCGGGAACGTTGTCAATCTAAAAAACATAAAGTAAGTAAATTTCCTGATTTTATTTTCAAAATTTCCCGATTTTATTTTCATAAATTTCGAAATTTCAAAAATTTCAAACCTTCAAAATGAATCGATCCATCCCAGCCACCTCCCAAAAGTCATCCGTACTTTTCATGTGCCCAATTCCTGTCAACTTGGCACGAAGACACTGAAATAAAACGCAAAAAATTTGCATGAAAATCTGCATAATCTGCAAATAATTAATATTCAAGAGTCCAAACCTGCGGCGGAATGAGGCTCAACAATCTCTGGACTGTTTCTGCTTCCATCATGTCTCGAACTGGGATCTCCCCTTCATTCCCGTAATCAATGTAAACCACCAAAACCTAGAAGTAACAAAAATTACACACAATTTTCCACGTAATTCTTAAAATTTCGAAAAATTACACGCTAAATTTATCACAAATAAATTGATTTCTCTAAATTACACTGAATTTTTCACGTATTTCAAAACATTTTTAAAAGTTGCCCCCAATTTGTCACGTATTCCTCAAAATTTCTAAATACTACACTAAATTTTTCACATATTTCTCAAAATTTCTAAAAGTTACCCCCAATTTTTCACGTATTTCTACCAATTTCTAAAAGTAACTCCAAACTTTTCACGTATTTCTACCAATTTCTAAAAGTAACTCCAAACTTTTCACGTATTTCTACCAATTTCTAAAAACTGCACCCTTATAAATTACATAATTTCTAAAAATCACACCATTTCGACCCCTCATTTCTTTTTACCTTATCCTCACTCACAACTTTGATGACTTGGCATCGGTACAAGGCCCCCTCGAATTTAGATAAGTAGACGGTGTCCGGTCTCGTATTGCTGGCACGCGCCACCTGCCCCTGGCTCCACTCGATCTTCCCCAAGTAGGCCTGGATGGACTTGACCAAGCATTTCTCGTACTGATAGATGAACGACCCGTCATTCACGAGATGCGTCACGATCACCTTCACCTCCTCACCGACCTGAATAAAAATACATATTTACATATTTCCAATTCACGTCATATGATTTGGTTTGGGCAAAATACATGACAAAAAATTAAAATATAAAAGTATTTTGAGTTCCGTTCTTCCCAGGATTTGCATTTCCAGGGCTGTTGCATCCACAAAAAGACCAGAATCTACGTGAAGATAATGGTCACACGAAAATACATGGTTTCTGAAGAAATCAACTTTTTATCGGTGGAAAACCCCTTTATTTTTAAAAAATCGTGTAAACGGCATCGATGAAGAGTTAATTTTTTTCCCAAAACCTGTATTTTCATATGACTTTTATACAATTCACCGTGTAGATTTTCGTCTTTTTGTGGGCGTAACACCCCCGGAAATCCCTGGGAAGAACACCACTCACAAAATACTCTAACAAACTATCTCCCCCCCCTCCCCCTGAAAATTATTGATAAATAATATCTTACCATCGGCTGTACGCATTTGAACGCCGTGGAGACCTTTCCTTCCGCCACGACCACGGCGGAGAGCAAGGGGGCATTTGCATAGTAGAGATGCACAACGGGAACCTCTCTTCGGACTCCGTACGTCGTCACGTGACATTTCGGTGGCGCTCCGTCCCTGGGGTTGACCACTTTGAGTATGTAGCGTTGCGGCGGCTCGTCCATCACACGGGCGAGGTAACTCGTCCCAAAAATCAGCTCCATGCCGGATGGAAATACGTCGAAGGTCTGCAAAAAAACACAAAAAATTACATTTTTTAAGCAAAAAAAGTTGTTATCATCAAAAAACAACAAACAACACTTTCACAATAAAAACCCAGAAATTTTACCATCAAAAAAAGCATTTTTACAACAGAACCCATAATTTTTAGGGTCTCATTTAATGGGCCAGACTTTTAATTGAAATCACATAACTAAATATATTGAAATTCCATAACTTGAATTTCCAGTACTTTATATGCCTTAAAACAACCTCTATAACTGAATCCATCAGACACGGAATTTCATAACTTATGAATTCATTTATATGTAAAAATCCATCAAAATAGTTACTGTTCAGGTATCCCTTGCTCTTCTAATCAATGGTAAACCATACAATCATAATCTAGAAGTACACAGTAGTAGAAATCGGAGACACCAAGGAATTTTGCAACCACTTCACTGTCAGAAATCTGGTATACTCGGGCTGGTATTGATTTCTCGGTATTATAAAGTTGCTACCGCTTGGTATTAAAATCATACCGGTCTGTGATAATTTCCTACCGACATTGTAAAACTTTAATAACGAACTGTTATGTGTTACACCGTATTACTTATCAACACCACTTTGGTAGAATCATACATTTATGATAGCCTGGTAATGAATATTTGATTTTATTTGGATATTGGATTTCTAAGAGTGTTCGAAACAAAATTTGTTAACCAAAAGTATGGGGCCCAAGCTCCAGGATTCCCAAGCACAAATAATGTGCATAGTTAAATCAATCAATGAAAAATGAAAACACTTTTAGAAAACGAGTCCACTGGTGAGCTACATAATGGTAAGCCTCAAGCATATGAGCATTGTTGGACAGGGACTTCGTCTCGTTAGATTCCAAAATAATGCTCTACACCGACATATGACCTCGTTCCAACTTTAAACAAACTATGTAGGTTAACTGGAGTATTAACCGGAAACTAGTTCCTTTAAAAGTGAGAAGGGGTGCTGGGGACCGTTGTTTCCTACGGTCTAGGAATTGCAATAATTTGGAATGGTTTCAACGTCAGAGAGAGGACGCCATGACCGTTCCTGTTGGGATATTGAGCCTTCAGGGTCTGCCCTGCCAAGGCCGGTAGGCCGCCTACTTGTTGATAATTTTTTTATACAAAAATTCAAAGAAATAGCTCATGTTTTCCTAAAATTTCTAAAGGCAAATCTTCGAAATTGAATAAAATGTATGATTCAGAAAAGTCTGGCAGATTTCAATTTTACAGTTTTTAAATTGAATTAAAGCACTGGAAATTCAAGTTATGCGATTTCAATATATTTAGTTATGTGATTTCAATTAAAAGTCTGGTGGATTAAAAATAACCCTAATTTTTAGTATCAAACACAGCATTTTTACGTCAAAACCCAGAAATTTTACCATCAAAAACAGCATTTTTTCCCACAAAACCCAGAATTTTATCATCAAAACGTAATAATTTCTCACCTGTCTCGGAAAATTCATGGCGTCATCCTTCAAGACGAACAAATTGTACCACTGGACCTTCACGGACTCTCCGTTGTCGATGTCTACACATTTAATGGGCGCATCGAGGTCCTCGCCGGGCCCTTCGGTGACCTGAATTCGTCTCAGGATGATCCCACTCTCGATGTCCAGTCGACCCATGTAGTGGTCACCTGCCCGAACCTCGCTGAACGGGGGCGACTCCCTCACCCCGGAAAAATTCTTCTTTAATACTTCAACTATTGTGGCCTCATTCTGTGCAAAAAAAGACAGAAAATAAAGCAAAATTTAAGGCGAATTTCTCAAAATAAGTCGGAAATTTATAGTAAAGTCAAAACTTAAAGTGAATTTCCGAAAAGAAGTTAGAAATTTACATTAACAAGTCAAAATTTACGTGAATTTCTCGCAATAAGTCAAAATATAACTTGAATTTCTCAAAATAATTCAAAAATTTACAGTAACAAGTCAAAACTTAAAGTGAATTTCCCAAACTAATTAAGAAATTAATAACTCACTACAAAACTAAACTTACCTCCGGACTCACAACTCTAACGACCAGTCTCCCGTACACCAATTCGATGAAATCCACGACCAAACACTCCCCAGAATTCGTCGCAGGCGGCGGACCCACACATTTCGAAGACGCCATCACCCCTGTCAAACTCCCCAAAACTGTCCACAAACAAATCCAACTCTATAATAAAGTATTCTTATTTACAAATAAGTATTTACAACTACTTTGTGTGGGGGAGTGGAAGACTTATCTTACGTACTTAGATACCTACATCACACAAAATTTGTAAAATTGTCCAGAAAACTCCGAAAAAAAAATACAAGAAATTTGGCACAATTTTGGGAGACGACGACGTCCTCTCTCTTCGAGCTTGATTTTACAACAAAGCCCAAGTCCAGAAGATGAAGACGAAGAAACGACGCCTTTCGCAAAAAGGACGCCACTCCATCCAAGACATCTATTTTTAGCCGCTTTTTCGCACAGGACGCCTCACCTTCACCTCACCTGACCTCAACCCGTGCGAAAAGTATGTGATCGATTTGACTGGGGGTTCAAGGCATCCTATCCTATCCTTTCCATGTTAATTGTATAACATGGGGCATATAGATAGGGGTCAAAATTCTCTGAAAATCACCGATCACATCCATTATGAACGGCCCATTTTCCTCTTGTGCGAATTAATTTGCTCACCTCTCGGAAAGCCAGGTGCGCTCTCATCATCCCTGCCTTATCGCGGTGGTGGTGGTGGTCGAGTCGCGCGTCGCGTCGCTGTCGTCCAATTCCTTCCTTCCAGATCATCATCTCCTCCACTACAACTTTGACTCTTGACCCGTCTCCACTCTGTCAAGTTTCTTCTCCAAAACACTTGTCGTCGTCGTCGTCACCAAATTTCCTAAAAAAAATTCCAGTTTTTTTTCAAACTTTCCGAAAATTCCAGTAAACAAATATAAAACTCCCCCCACTTTTCAAATTATGCCAAAGAAGAACGCCTTTTTCTTTTTTATGCTGCACCGAAAAGAGGAAATAATTCGGAGTGGGATAAAACTTACCCGAGGTTTGGCAGAAGTTGCTACACTGATTGATTCCGAGTGGAAGGTAAGGGAGGAGAGTTTCCAGGAAACTTATTTTATTTTACGTTTGTCAGAGTTGATCGCCACTCTTGTGTTTTTTCGCGACTTTGCAAATATTTATTTCACTTTTTCACTATTTTCTTTTTTCTCACCCAGGAAATGCCCACTGATCAAAAAGAGATCTACAAACAGATGGCGGACGACAACAACTCGACAGAAAAAATGGGCAAAACTCAAGGTCAACAACCGGAAACGATCGAGGGGGCGGTCGGCTTATCGTCGCGACACGGATATTCATCTTTATCACCAACCAGCTTTGCACAAGTGTAAGTTAATTTACTAAATAATTAATTAATTAATTTGAAATTAGTTAGAAATTCGAACTTTTCGCACTTGATTAAGAATTAATTTCAAAAAGTAAATAGAAAAATGTAGAAAATTCTCGAAAAGTGAAGAGAAAAAGAAATACAAATTTCTCTTCCAGCTCCTCAGCTGGAGAAATTAATTAAATAACAAAAATAATTAATCAAATTAATAGAGGGGAGGAAAATAATTGGTGGAAATGGAAATGTAGTATTTTGAGTAGATTTCCTGGGCTGTTACACCCACAAAAAGACGGGAATCTACGTGGAGAAGGCAACAATCAGTCAAAAATTCAGGTTTTGTGAAGAAATTAACTTTTCATCGATGCCAAAATACTTGAAAATCGCGAAAACAACATATTTTGACACCGATAAATGGTTATCTTCTTCACAAAACCTGTATTTTCGACTGCTACCTTCTCCACGTATATTTTCGTCTTTTTGTGGGCATGACGGGAACAATTCTGTATTTCGACAAATTATTTTGCCCACCTCTGCAAATTAACCTTACAAAAACTAATTATTTTCTCTCCTTCACCACCCACAGGGCTGAGCAAGTCATGGTCAAATATTGCTATGGACCTGAATCCTTCTCAAATATGAGGACCCTTCTCGCCACGCTGCTCAACGGCGTAAATCCGGAAATGATTCCGATTTCAATCCTACAATTCAGCACGTACAGCGAGAAACCGCCTGGCGACGCGGACGACTTCATGGTCGCAGAAGTCGGTCTCACCATTTTCAGCGTGAAGAAAGGAATCTTGAAGAATTTTTCGGCTTTGATCGACCCAGGTAAATAATTGTCTCGCTTTTTTGAACCCAAGTCAGAGCTTATAATTATACCCGTCATAGTTGTCTGTCTGTCTGTCTGTTTGTCGATGGAAAACTTATCCAATCTCTCCTTGAAATTTTGTACACACGTAGAATATGCAACGTAAGATAACTAAAATGTATGAAAAAGTTGTATTTAGCCCGAGTCAGGGCTTATAAACCTGTCATGGTTGTCTGTCTGTCTGTATGTCTTTCAATTATATATGCAACACAAGATAACAACTAGAAATTTTGCGTATACGTAGAATTTTCAAAATTAGGAATCAAGTTCAAAAATAGGAAAAATCTGTGGAAAAATAAGAAAGTTCTCTCAATCTCAATTATTAGTAACAACCTGACTCGGGCTTGCACTCTGGTTCTAGATTTTGATTTGTTTTTCCGAACACTTTACTTTTTTTACAGGTGAGGATTATCCCAAACATCGGAAAAATGAAGTCGCCAAGTGCGCTAAAAAGTTGGCCCTGCCGATGCCCGGGTATGATAAGCGAGCCCAGGATTATCGGGCAATTCTGGATGCACTTTTCCAGATTGGAAACAAGGTACAAAAAAGTTTTCCAAGTATTTTTATCATGATTAATTAATTATATAACAATGCATTTAATTTAACAATTTAGGTGGGGAAGGACGGCCGTGTCGTGTTTTACTGCCTCACCGAACAACTCCCAACGACTGAATTGTGTTTGAAATGGTTGATGTTCCAAGCAGGTAAGAAAATTTCGATAAAAAAATACAGTATTTTGAGCTCCGTTCGTGCAAGGACTGGAATTTTGGGGGATTATACTCACAAAAGGACAAAAATCTACGTTTAGAATACAATTGTCATATGAAAATTCCTATTTTATGAAAAGAAACCAACTTTTTATCGCTGCCAAACTATTTTCGAAAAATCCTGAAAACAATGTATTTTGACAGCGATGAAAAGTTAATTTCTTGACAAAACAGGAATTTTCGTATGATTGTTGCCTCCCCACGTAGATTCTCGCTTATTTGTAGCTCTAACATCCCCAGAAATCCAAACCGAGCTCAAAATACTGTATTTCTCCAAAGTATTTTCCCCATTCCTGCAAATCTTGCCACTAACTACAATCTTCCCTTTTTAGGAATCTACGCCCAAAATCTCCAAACTCGTTACGAATTCTATCTCCTCTCGCTCGACGACATGATCGCCATGATGACCAGCAGACTGGACCTCAGCCGAGTTCCGGATCGTCCTAAGCCAAGCTCACCGTGGTCCCCGGGCGCCGCGGCCGCTGGGGCATGTGCTTCGTCTTCTTCTTTCCCTCGGCGAATTCCGAACCAACTGGAACTCTCACTGTCCATCATGCAAGAAGAGACGGAACGCTACGTGGCCTTCCCTCCCAAACTGCCCTTCGTCTCGAGAGGAATTTTCGCCCATGCCGGCGAAGTCATCGACTTTCTCAAGGTGGACAACTACGCACATCGGGAAGAATTGGCGTGCAGATATCATTCAGTTGTAAGCTCAATATAGTTTTTTATTCACTCACTCAATGGAGGTCTCCCAGCGTATTTTGAGGAAATTACGTCTCAATCTATCACAAGTTTAGTTAGTTTGAAGCTTGCGAAAGACACGATCTCCGAATGGGCACGTTTGACGAGAGATATTTGCATCCGAAGAGGAGAAAATTTGCTTTAAAGTCAAATCAAGTCGATAGATTTTACACTTTCCAAATTTACTGCGTGTTTTCTCATCTCTTGGGATGTAAATATCTCAGCGAAACGTGTCAATTGGGAGATCGTGTATTTTGCAAATGTTTTGGGGTTCCATTTCTGTTTCTCCCTGAAAAACAGGGGAACAAAACCCCGGAAAATTCCTGTAAATGAACCCTCGAAAAAAGCTCGCCCCCGCAATTCCACGCAAAGCGATTGCAAATTTTTACACCACAAATCGAACCCACGTGCCCCATTACCTAAATTTGTCATCGATTCACACTAATTTCCTCAAAATCCGAGAGCTTAACGCTGGGAAACCTCCCCCTATAAATAAAAATCCTCCCATATTTAACCCCCACTCAATTATATTTTATCTTTTTCCAGCGCCGCGACGGTGTCTACTTCTGTCCCATCAACGTCGCGAACCGCTATGCCTTCAACTTGCTCCACGTTTTGACCGTGGCCTACCAAACCTGCCCAATTCCGGGCCGTCACTACCCCACAATCCTGCACGACGAGGGTGAAGAGCGACGCCGACGACGCGACATGCTCAAAGAGTACGAAATCTGGGACCCCACCGCGCTTGGGCTGCAGGAAGCGGCGAACGATCAAGAATTGCAGGAGGCAGAAGCAGCAGCAGGTGATCGATACCGACATCGACCACGTGGCCAAAATCCAGATCGTGCAGAGTACGAAAAACTTTCGGATGCGTTTAAAGATTTAAAGACGACAAATTCACCATAATTCGGAATCACATTTTTTCACTTATTTCTCCCTCTTTCGAATTTTGTATTTTGTTAGATAATGAACTTTACAAAAATGTATGTACGATAATTTGTTAGTAGTATTTCACAAAATTCCCTGTATTTTACTAATAAGTTTCCGTCCGAATTTTTGGATTATGCTGGATAATGAACTTTACAAAAATGTATGTACGATAATTAGTGCTTCAAAATTTCCTGTATTTTACTAATGATTATGTTTTGCCGAAATTGTATTAGAAAATGAACTTGAGCACTGCCAAAGTTTTCAGTACATATTTTATATCAACAATGAATTTATTACTGGATTTTTGTACACACTTTTTTATACTTTTTCAATAAAATTTGTAACAACGTATCATTAACTTTGATTCAATTTCTTAAATTTAAGGTAGGACTCATCGCCAAAATCGTAAAATGCATAACATTTTTAATTATTTCTCCTCACTAGAAAAACTCAATTTCTGGACGACAAATTTGTAGAGAAAGACGTTCCCAATTTTTTTAAAATATACAATTCAGATTTTGACACTTTTTGAACGATTAGAACGATTGAACGAAAATTCACCACCATTCCAACTCACCGACGGCAAATGTGTCGTTCAGAATTTTGAAATAAGTTCCCAGAGATGATGATTAAATGATTAAAAATGTGCTGATTTTGGCGATAATTCGTACCTTAATTAAAACATGCTAAGTATTTATGCTAAGTATTCTGGTCCACAACTATCCGGCGCGTATGGAATTTCTGGCAGGTCATCGACCCGTAATCCTCTCTCGAAATTGGTCGCGCTTTGAAACCCATTGTCCCAAAATTGAATCGTGTCCGCATCCACGAAGTACAGGATGACTTCGGTCGGCCCGACCTGGTTGGACCAGGCCAACATCCAGTAGTCATTGTCCCATTCGATCGTGAAGGTCGCGTTGGACGTCTGCGTGAGCCAACCGTGACCCCAAACGCCGTACTCGACGTACAACTGCTGTCCCCCCGAAGGATTCGTCCGCATCGTGAGGCTCATCTCGCCTGCGATAAATTATTTTCAGAGGGCGAATATTTATTTAGTTTCAACTTTTTCATTTGGTCAAGCTTTGTCCGTTAATTTTTATAGATCACAAAAATTCCAAAATATTTCTACATATGGTCACATATTTCTAACCCGTCAGAAATATTCATAAATATTTCCGTTATTATTTGAAAAATGTGGAAATCGTTTACATATTTTTTTCAAAAGTACGTATATTTTGCAAATATTTCAACGATTTGAGACACGAAATTTTTTTACTCTTAGAAATTGAATCATAAAAAATCCAGACAAAAATTCAATGTTTTTGCTCTTTGTTCATGCATATTTCGTAAATATTTTAGCATTTTTCTCAAATATTAAATTCATGTTTTAGCGATTTTTCATAAAATACATATCCGCCATGTTCATTAGCATGTAATTTTGGCAAGCTGTAGACCTACCGTTAAAACCACTCCCAAAAACACCGACAGCTTCTTCCGGTTCAATCCTTTTAACTTGTGCCAAGCCTTCCACTTTATTCTCCTTCCTCTCTCGAATAATCGGGTACGGTCCAACCGTAAGGTCAGAGAAGGAATGCGACGCAACCTTTGACCCCCGCTTTGTATTCCCTAAAAAGGTATCACACGTTTTCATTAAACTAGTAGTGTCACACGACCGCAAATTTATATTTGCGAAACACACGATCTCCCAAATTTGCAGATATTTGCATCCAAAGCGGAGAAAATGTGTCTTCAAGTCGACAAATTTTACACTTTCCGAATATAAAAATATCTCTAGGCCCTCTAGGTGATCATGTATTCGTGTCTTCATACTAATTAAATTTGCGATTGATTGACATTAACTTGCTCAAAATCCGAGAGCATGCTACAAATTCGTCGTCACTCTGAATACCTAATTTTAGCAAATCTGTACCCTGAAGAATGTCGAAAATCTTATTAAGCAAAGCGTTGACAGGCTCCGCAGACGCGGCGGCAGTTCCAGGTCCATTCATCGTGACGAAGATGCCCAAATTCAGGCTGGGGAAGAGATGCATCAAGCTCTCGTACGGGGGGATGTACCCCCCGTGACTCACACGGAGCCAACCTACCCATAAAATCTAATTAATACTTCTCCACAATTTTCTTCTCATCTAAAAACCCACCATCATAAACGCCCACATTGAGACAAAGACCATACGCCAGGTTCAGGTCGACCGTGGCGTTCGGATTGTCCCCAGTTTTTATGAACCCAGCCACTTGCAGGTTGGACGGCGCTGTCAGCCACCCCATGACGGCCTAAAGATCAATAATTTGCATACCTACATCTTTATCTAGGACTCATCGTCATAATCCGCACTTTTTTAATCATTTCTCTGCTCTTGGAATTTATTTTAAAATTCTGGAAGACCAATTTGCCCTGAGTTGATTGATGGAATAGTTTTTCGACGAGTTCCGATTTTTCTGAAGGCTTCTTAAACTTGAGATCTCCTCCGCCAATTAAAAAGTATATATCAAAATCTGGAGTGTATATTTTTAAAAAGATTGGCAACTACTTGCCCCACAAAATTTGCAGTCCAAAATTTTAAAATAAATTCCCAGAGAAAAATTATTAAAAATCTGCTAATTTTGAAGATTATTATCATCCACTCGTCCGCTGAAACAAGATTTTTACCTCTGGGACGATTTGTTGCCCCCCAACGTTCCCCAGATTCAGCTGAAATTGCATGTACTTCATCATGTCCTGCGCGGAACTGAGGATTCCTCCGGCCGCATTCACAATCACGACCCCCCTGCAAAATCCCCCCTGTTATTCATGATTATCAATGAAATCAGTGCCGGCGGAAGTTCGGGGGACATTCGCATCGTGGGATCAGAGAAGGAGGGACTTAATAACGTAGGCAAGATACTATTGTTCTGAATTTCTGGGGGGATTATGTCCCCTCACTTCTGCCGTCAATGTATGAAATCATGGCATTTTTTATTACTTGAGTAGTTCCGGATTGTAGCGGATAAGGCCGTCATCCTTCCAGATGTAGGGGACGGATCGACCCATCATGTTGTTATGGTCGTCACTCTCCTTCACCCACGTCGTCTCGTTCATCCCGATCGCACCCAATAATTCTGATAACTACATTAATCGTACATACATAATTTTAATTTGTGCCCATACAATTGAGGTCTCCCGGTGCATGTTCTCCGAATTTGAGTAAATTAGTCCTAATCGGCGACGAATTTGATTAGAATGAAATTTGCGAAAGACACGATCTCCCAATGGGCACGTTTGGCCGAGATGTTTGCATCCAAAGAGGAGAAAACGCGCAGTAAATTCGGAAAGTGTAAAATTTGTCCACTTTCGGACGCGTTTTTTCCTCTTCAGATGCAAATATCTGGACCAAACGTGCCTTTTGGGAGATCGTATCTTTCCCAAATTTCATACTAATCAAATTCGTCATCGATTCACACTAATTTGCTCAAAATTGGAGACAATATACGCTAGGAGACCTCCATACTCAGCATCTTATCTAATCCATGATAAGCCTACCATCTCGTTAAACGTGGAATTAGCCATGTGCGCAATGATATCTCCAGCCATCCCGATCAGCCCGTTGTTGTAAACGTACCCATTTCGAAAGCTACAATACTCCACCGTGTAACGGTGTCGACTGCGCATGCAAAATTATATACACAATTACAAATCTTCCTATTTTTTTAGAAAAAAAAATTGCAAATTTTTCTCTCTTTAAATTTCTTACTAGTAAATATCTTCAAAACTAGTGTAGGTCTGAACCCACATTCCTGCCAATTCTGGGAACGTGCAAACCCGGTGGGACAAAAGGTCACGGAATGTCACACTCTCAGAACGGTATCTGCACGCAAAAAATTGTGTCAAACACGTATCGTATTATAAATTACTAAATACTCTTTCTCTCCTTCATATTTTACCTGTCACTCAAAACGAAATTATATCCGGGGGCTAAAATCCGAATCGGCGTGTCCAGCACGGTCACATCCAGTTCAGGAAACATTTCGTTCAACTTCTTGATCACGACGGTGGCCGCAAAACTCTACATTTTTCCAGAAACATATTAACAAACATATTTGTTTAACCACTGTCCAGATCAGCAGTAAAAAATTGGTTGTACCCAATTTTGAACACCGAAGTTTGCACGTCCAAAAGTGTTCAAAATAGAAAATGGAGAAAATGCTAGAAGTTCTTCATTGTTGAATCTTTCTTAATTTTGAGATTTTGGGGTGTAATGAGGCATAGTTTAGAAAATTTCTATATTTATTATAAGAAAACATGCTAATCAAAAGTTTTTCCAAATTTGTACACCAAAGTGGTCAAAATTAAGGAGAGATTAGATTAGATCATTTTAAAAAGTCGTTAATAAAGACGCCCCGCTTCCAATTTTTGCACAGTTTTGGACGCTTTTGAACTGGGTTTTGGGTGTCCAAAAACACTGCGAAATTGTGTCATTTTTTTTGCCTCACCTTTGTAATCGATCCGATCCCGAACAACGTGCCGGGATCGACTTGCAGTCTATTCTCGACATCTCGGTACCCATACCCCCTCGTGTAAACTAGCTCCCCGTCCCCCCTCGTAATGGCGAGACTAAGGCCGGGCGTGTTTTTCGAGGTCATCCATGACTCCAGCAGGGCATCAATTTCCACCCGAATTTCTGGAGGAATCACGTTCTCCTGCGCGGAAGAGATGCCAAAAACCAGGGCGAGCAAGAGTACGAAAAATTTCGCCATTTTTGCAAAAAATTGCACAACTTTCAGCAAATACAAACCAACACTGACGACTCAACAATTGAGGGCGTGTGATTAAGCATTTATTTCTCACCTTATCGCACCAAATGTATCGCTCTTATCGAGATAGATGATAACAACTCATTCATTTACAAATAACACTTACCGTTCAATTGAACGAGTTAAAATCTGTCAATTAATTAATTAACAAGAAATGATAATAATACAACCTGCATTTAATTAAGTGGTACCTTAAACTGTTTAATTAATTGTGTTGTTATTTTATACTTAATATTAATGGGTCATGTCAAAGGAGATAACGGGATTAATCATTGTCCATCAATTTTTATGACGTCGAAAGTAAATCACATCGTTTTGAAGGGGGTCAATTAATTAATTGGCAGATAATGTAGTTAGTCATAAAAGATTAGCTTATTACTCATACAAAAATATTGGAGAAGGTGTTGACAAGCCGGCGAAAATAATGAGTCATATAATTTGCACGTTACACAACATAAAGTGCCAAATAATCAAACAGTGATTTGCGAAAATTATAAATTAAAATTCTTCATCATCACAATTAATTGGTCATCTCTCACCAAGCTTTTTCCCCACCCACGATTCTCCACGTTTAGTCCCGATTCAAATTGTCCAGTTAAAAAAATGCACCACATTTTCGTGCGGGGGGGGGGGGGGGGGTGAAATTATAAATTGTGTACATATTTACATACATATCTATCTAATCGTGCCACTCTTCTATTAACACAGGAGTGCATAATATATACAAATGTAAAGCTTTGTTACCATGCAAATTTTTGTTCAAAAAGCACTTGTTTAATCAATAATAACTTTATTTCGGGATCGATTTCCAATAATTCAGAATCTCACGTGTCACGCCCCACGCAAAACTTTCTCCACAAATTCTGGTCCTACATACATATTTCACCCCCCACAAAAATCCCCCCCTCTTCGTCACCATGTCCGCGGAAGTAGCACCTCCACCCCCACCACCACTCGCCGTAGTCGACCCACCACCGCCACAACTTCCTCCTCCTCCTCCCCCCGAAGAGACCCCCCCACTTTCACACACAGATGGTCCACCTCCACCTCCTCCCACCGAATCCACGCGACACTCCACCTCCAACCCGGCAAATCCTGCCGCTCCTCCCACAAAGACGCAAATGTCTGCCCGACTCGCGAGCAAGAAGATGATTGACATCCTCACCCCGAAGAAGGAACCCTTCCCCATTTTCCTCCCCCCGATTGGGGACGTTCGCAAGAAGATTTTCATGACCACGCCGCCCCCGCCCCCTGTCAAATCGGGTAGTTTGACCCAGTCCGACGTTCCCTCCGATAAGATCAAGTTTGGCAGCGTGCCCTTCGTGGATGGGGACGATGCTCCAAATCCGTTCCAGTATCCGCCCAGTATTAAGGAATTTATGGCGAAATGCGAGGCAGAGAAGGCGGAGGTGGGTCAATAATTAATTAGTAAAAAATAATTACGATCTTAATTTAATTACGCTGTTACACAATTTTTCAGGTGAAGAAGAAGGCGGCTGAGACGCCCGCTCTGATGAAGGGGACGTCCCTATTCAAGCAGAATCAGACCGTTTTAGCCAGAATTAAACCCTTTCTTCAGCCCACTTTTAAACCTTGTAAGTCTCAAAACCATACAAGTCAGATGTACATGGACACAATACATTGTTAAAATACGGTATTTTGAGCTCAGTTCTTCAGGTTAAAATTTTCAGGTCTTCACATCTACAAAAGGACGAAAATCTACACAGCGAAGGCATCAGTCGTACGAAAATAGTGCATGGTTTTGTGAAGAAATTGCGTTTTTATCGGGGTCAAAACCTATTGTTTTCACGATTGTTAAAAATGAGGTATTTTGACAGCGATATATAGCTAAATTCTTCAGAAAACTTGTATTTTCATACGACTGTATTGCCTTCTCCGTGTAGATTTTAGTCTTTTTGTGGGTGTGACAGCCTCGGAAATCCAAACCCTGGGAAGAACCCAGCTCAAAGTACTATACTTTCACAAACTATTTTGCTCATATATGTTAATTACTAAAATTACGCCTTAATTAATTAATCTCCCGAAACAGCCCTCGCCCACGATTACAAGCAAGTCATTTGGCGTGCCCAGAATGGATTGCATATCAACCATTTGCAAAAAGTCTCCCGCAAATTGCACACCGAGTATATCATGCAGCGCAAGAATATCTACTATCTTCGGGTGTGTCCATATTTACATAATACCTGTTCCAAACTTATACAATTTCTTAATGCAAATCTCTCCAAAATCATTTTCAGAGGGCGATCCGGTCCAGAAAAATCGCTCTGGAAATGATCGGCAAAACCCGGGAGTTTGAGGAAGCCTGTCTCAAAGATTACGAATGGCTCACCGACTTCACCAAGGAGGCTTTCGAAACCTTTTTGAAGGAGAATGACGAAAAAACGCACCAAGTCGCGTTAACGTAAGGCGTCCACTTTTATGCAAAAATCAGTCAACTTTCTCTTCAGTGTTTCGTTTCTTGTGCGTTTGCCATATTTCTTCAACTGGAAAGCAAAAAGCGCAAGAAATGGGGGGTGCAAGAAAGTGGGAGAAAATGCAACAAATACGCGCCGCATGAACTATAACTGCGGAGCGTAGTGCTTGCGCATTGCATTTCGTGCAGGTCCAAATATCTGCATAAAACCACTTTCTCTCCGTTATTCTTGCAAGTGGTTACTTTCCAGTGTTTCGTTCCTTGCGAGTTTGCTACATTTTTGCATTGAAATGCAAGAAATGCAAGGTGCAATAAACTAGGAGAAAGTGTGCAAGAAACATGCGCCATTTAGCCGTATGAAGTATAGTCGCGTGGTGTCGTTTTTTTGTGCCTTGCATTTCTTGCAGGTCAAAATATTCCCTTGCAAGAAACCACTTTCTCCCCCCTATTTCTTGCAAGTCTTGCTTACTTTCTCCCGGAATTAGCTTTCTTCTATTTTATTTACACATATTTTCATCCCTCCATCCAGGGCGGAGCACGCGTTAAAGGAAAAACTCGACAAAACCCTCCAAGTTCGACAGTTGAGCATCCAGATAAACCACGTCAAGTCGGACATCATCCAAACGAATGAGAGTTTACGCGAGTGCAAAACCTACATGCGATTCTTGGACGATATCGCCAGAGAAATTATGCGAAAGGATGAAGAAGAAGAGATTCGAGCTCAGCATGTAAGCAGAATTTTTTAAAAATTCTTTCCACAATTTTCTGCAAAATTTCCACAATTTTCTGCCTCATTTTTTCTCCCCAGAGAGAGCAACAAGTGAAAGAGGAGTTGATGCTGTACCTCAAGCAAGGCATGTCCCTCAAGAAGGCGCAGCAAACCGTGGAGGAAAGGGCCAAAGAACTCTACGAAGATTACTTCTCCAGCGGACAGCATCGTGCCTCGTGTAAAAATTTGTATATTTTTTGTGTAATTTTTGGTCCGAGTCTGACCTTATGTGCCCGTCATGGTTATCTGTCTGTCTATATATCGATTACACTCGTGTTAAAACTTACCCAATCGACTTGAAATTTTGCATATATTTCTGTAGAATATGCAAAATTAGGACTCAAGTACGAACATGAGCTAAATGTCAGGGCTTATGTACCCGTCACGGTATCTGTCTGTTCGTCTATCTATCTATCAATTAATCTCGTAAAACTAACTCCCCAACAATTGACTTGAAATTTTGCACACAAGTAAATCATACAAAATTATTCATCAATTTCGAAAATGAGCAAAATCTATCCTAATATTAAAAAAATGGTCGTGGTCGTCTTACAATTATTAGCAAAACCCCGACTCGGGCTAGACAAGGTTGCCGTCTGAGCTTTTTCTTAAGGCCCCGTAAAAATTTAGGATTTAATTTATTTAGTCGGAAACGCCGCCAGCAGCGAGTTCCTGTCCACCCTGCATAAAGAGGTTCGTCGCTACTTGGGCATGCCGGAAGAGGTCATCACCATCTCGGACGAACCGGAAGAGGACGAACAGCAAATTCGGCGAGGCAGTCTGGACGACGATTTCGACGACGACTCGACGCTGCCCTCGGCGTCGCAGGAGCCCATCCACGAGACCGGCTTCCTCTCCCCCAGAACCATCGTGTCCAGTCTGGTCCAGAGGAACAAGAGCAGACTCGTACACGTGGTCGAAAAACAGGAGAGAAAAGCCTTCGAAAAGTTGATGATGGGGCCGGGAACCAAGAAAATTTTGAAAAATGCTGGTATTTACTTTTACCAATTTATTTTGGCAAAGAAATTTTTCCATGCAAATTTTTTTGCACAGAGGATGAAGACGGCTTTAATGAGTTCGCCCTCCTAAAATCACTCGAACTCGTGCCCGGCGATGAGGACACGGACCGAAGAGAACTCGCAGGTCAGAAATACTTGTTTGACGCAAGAACTCATCAAAAATTGTCACAAAATCAGCACATTTTTAATCATTTCTCCGCTCTGGGAACTTATTTTAAAATTCTGGATGACAAATTTGGAGAGCAGGTCGTTGCCAATTTTTTTTATAGAAATATCCACCCTGATTTTGACACTTTCTAACGGAGGAGATCTCAAGTTTAGGAAACCTTCAGAAAAATGGAGTTCGTCGAAACTCGCTTAAAAACTCACCGTCATTTCATTAATCAACTGACTGACTGCAAATTTGTCATCCAGAATTTTAAAATATAAGTTCCCAGAGCCAAGAAATCATTAAAAATGTGCATATATTAACAATTTTTGTGATAAATCATCCACTCCTATCTTAAAATTTACGATAAAAATTTCACCACCAATTTTCTACACTTGCAAAAAAATCCAGGCCTAAGTTTCACCCGACCCAGCCAACTTTTGCAAATCTACTCGGACATGGAAGAAGCCAACCTGTCTCTCATACAACACTCCCAAGCTTCTGAAGAAATGTTGGAACGTGTCAATAATCAAATCACGGCTACAAGAGTGAGACATACAAATAAATAATTTCCATAAATCGACATTTTACTCTGTATGCAAATTTTAAATTTATCAATTTCCAGAAAAATCTGAACCACCGGGGTCGCCTTTTGCGCGATGAGATCAATCGCATGCAGGCAAACATTGACGGTAATGAGGATCGTGCCAACGCTTTGGCCATGCTCGTCGAGTACGTCCACGTCGCCACAATTTATTATCTTAAATCTCAACTAATCAAACTTTACCCTATAGAATGTTCACCGGTGGAAATTATGATGTCCGACAGCAGCAAAAATTATACAAAATATTGCAAAAACATGTCGCCAGAGTTTACAGAGCAGCAGTTGGTAATTTATAAACAGATACAAATTTTAATGCATAATTAAGTAGACGTTTTTCATAATTTAACAAAAAATTGCCCAGGTACGATTGACCATCACCTCAATCCAATCATGATGTTGACCTCGATCGAGAAAAATTTTGAGGATTTGATGTAAGTTTCCTTTACCCTCTAAATACTTGTAGCGTCCAATCTCGTACACATTTACATATTTATTTACGCAGGTACGAAATCCAAGCCATGCCGACAGACGTAGTGATGCAAATCTCAAGGGTGAGTCTGTCCATAATTTATTTATAGCATATTGTCTTAAAGGATGACGATTGTTAGGTCATAGATAGTTTTAAATCTTATATCCGTATGCAAATTTACTTCAATGCAAATTTCTAAAATCCCATTAATTTCAAGAGTTTTCAGATAAATGAAACTCTTCATATTTTATGTCAAGTTAGTTTTTGGTACTTACAAAACTACATATAGAGTTAAAAAATGCTACATTTGCCATTTTTTCACGATAAATTTCCTCAAAAATTTCCAGTCGATAGTTTTGTACTACCAGAAATTAGCTTTGCATGAACGTATGAAAAGTTGCATTACTTTGTTTCCAGGAATTGGACAAGGAACGTCGCGAAATGGAACGTTTGGAAAAGATGAACCACCGCAAGAAAGTTCAAGAAGAGAGGAAATCCAGGCAACTCGATCGTGCCAAAGCGCCCATTCATCGCAGGGTAAGCAGAAAAATATTATAAAATCACCAATTAAGATGAATGCATAGCGTTATTGACCCCATTTCAGAAAGGGCGACCCCTTCTGCCTCGCTCGCATCCTCCCAAGGTCGTCATTCACCTCTCACAAGAAGAGTTGGACAAGAAAGCGGAAGCCGACGAGTTTAACTATTTCTTTGGTCCTTAAATTAAATATCTAGTAGTAAAAAAAGCACAAATTAAATAAATGTACAAAATACGAATACTTGACTTACTACTTATCATTTATTTACGTATGTTTTTTGAGGGCAACAAGTTTTGGCTTAAACCCGAGATGACCATCACTTAACGTAAGTAGGACTCGACGACTCATCGCCAAAATCCGCACATTTTCAATCATTTCTCGCTTCTGGGAACTTATTTTAAAATTCTGGACGACAAATTTTACGATGCCAATTTTTTAAACATATCCACTCCAGATTTTGACTCTTTTCGACGGAGAACATCCCAAGTTTAAGAAGCCTTCAGAAAAATTGAAACTGATTGAAACTGTCTCAAAAATCTCAACGCCATTCCATTAATCAACTCACTCACTACAAATTTGTCGTCCAGAATTTTAAAATAAGTTCCCAGAGCCGAGAAATGATTAAAACTGTGCTTCTTTTGACGAATCGTCATCCAGTCCTACGTTATAACTTACACACATTATAATTAGTCCTACATAATTAAAAAATACTTTGAACGGTCAACAACAAGGATGACAAAACCGGTACCAGTAACGAAAAGGTGGGTGGGTGGGTAAATAGGTAGAGCTTCGCATCAAACATATCATGGAATAAGGTGACAACAACAATGTCCAATTTCTATAATACTTCACAAAAATAAAAATAAAAATAAGACTAAATCCTCTTCGACGTGTTGGCAGCGTATTCAGATCCAGACATGTTTCGACAGGCGACTGCAAATTCTCCGATTGCGTCTTGAATCGCGCGTTTATTCACGCGTTCCCTGAATAATACGTAAAAGGACAATTAATTAGTCATTCTGAATAAATGGAGTATTTTGAGCTCCGTTTTCCCCAGGGTTTGCATTTCCGGGGGTGTTACACACCCACAAAAAGACGATAATCCACGTGAGGAAGGCAACAATAAAATCAGTCCAAAATATACAGGTTTTCTGAAGAAATTAACTCTTTGTCTTTCAAACTACATTGTTTTCACGATTTTTTTTAAAATGAGGTATTTTGACAGCGATATAGTTATTTTCTTAAAAACCATGTAATTTGAATCGACTATTGGAAATATTCTCTATGTTGATAAATATTTTTTTATGAAATTAACTTCTTATCGGCGTGAAAAAATCATTAGTTTTACAATTTTTTAAACGAATTTTTACCGTGACAAAAAAGTTAATTCCTTCAAAAACCTGTATTGTTGCCTTCTCCACGTAGATTCTTATCTTTTTGTGGGTATAATAGCCCTGGAAATCCAAATCCTGGGACAAACTAAGCTCAAAATACTACTCTATTTTCGAAAAATATTTTCCCCACACACGAATTTCATACAGATAAACTTTTAAAATCCATTTTTTTTCAAAACTCACTTTGTAACTTTCATATAAAACTTGGTTTTCTGTTCCTGCGTGATATGAGGAGACGGGAATCCTTCAACGCCTAAACATTCCGACAACCATTTTCGCCAATCTGCCGGAAAACATCGGTTCGCAGAGAGGATCAATTCGCCAAAGTGTTGACAGTGCGATCTCGGTACCGAAAATCCTATAATTTATATATTAGTTTACTTTCTACAAATACGCAAATTCAGCTAATGGTAATTACCAATAGCGTGCAGAATTTTTTGCACTATTCTTTGCCCATTGCTTCGATAAAAGTCCACCCTGGAAGGAACCAGAGTTGCTGCTCTGTCCAGCGCCATCGTTGTCAAATATATCGACGCCTTCACCATGTTTATTTCGTGCAGGCTTAACGATTCAATGCCTGCAATGCATTTAAAACATTACAATTTTATTTATCTTAACCCCAAAAAAAATTAAAGTAGGACTCGATTACTCATCACCAAAACCGGCAAAATTATCAAATTTATTATCATTTCTCCGCTCTGGGAATTTATTTTGAAATTCTGAACGACAAATTTTTAGAGCAGTGAGTTCCCAATTTTTCAAAAATATACACTCTACAGTTTAACACTTTTTGGCGGAGGAGATCTCAAGTTTAAGAAGCCTTCAGAAAAATTGGCACTCATCGAAACTGGCTCAAAAAACTCAATGCCATTCTATCAATCAATTCACTGACTACAAATGTGCCTTTCAGAATTTTAAAATAAATTCCCAGAGCCAAGAAATTGTTAAAAATGTGCTAATTTTTCCCATTTTTGTGACGTTAAGTTACTCACACAGGGATAAAACTAAATCTAACGAAATTCCCGATCCGTTGACAAGGTCGCAATCCGACTTCATCAATTGTCCTAAAAGCTGGAAATATGATTCCGTAAATTCCGTGTCCCTCATGTCCTTTAAACGGTCGGCACAGGAGACGTGCATCTCGCTCAGAAATTGCTGCTGCACAGCTCTGTTCTCCTTCCCGAGCATTAATAGTGTCTGGAATCAATAAATTAAAAAAAAATTCAAAAATAGTTTAGCTTAAATATGAGTCGCAAAATCAAAATAAGTTTTACTCTAATGTTTGCACTTATTTGTAGGATTGATTATAAGATTAATTAGGTGCAATTTAATGCAGGTTGTGCCAGTTTAATTAGCTTTTTTTGCGAAAAAAATGCATGTGGCGTTTGAGAATTTGCGAAATTACCACACCTAATGTGCAATAATTGCGCAGATTTCGTCAACATTTTACGCAGTAAAATATTTAATTTCACTTTTTTAAAAAGTGAAAAATTAACGGAGTTAGCAAAACAATTTTGCCAATTCTTCACCCATATATTTGCAAAGTCGAGTAAACTTCGTATTAATTTTCAAAGTGAAATTATTTTACTGGGAAAAAATGTTGACCATCTAAATAAAAACTGCGTAATATTACCAACATTTAAAATATTGCAAATTAGGCGTAGCAATTCCGCAATTTTGGTTTCCACAAATTTCCAAATTTCCAAATTTCCACAATTTTTCCATATCCGCTTAACAAATTTGCAAAAAAATCGACACAACCTGCTATCCTCCACCCTTCCATTATCCTCACCTGTTTCGCCACATGTGTCGCACTCGTCAAGGGGTTCAACTTGAACGAGATGATAACCAGTTGCATCGCGTACTGCAGAACGGTCATGCTCGACGACTGGATCGTGGACAAGGTGTGTTTCACAATTGAAAACAGCGCCTCGATCGCGTCCTCGTCTCGCGCCCACTTTTCCGCCACGGGAATGAGCACGGGCAGGATTTGCTCCACGACTGGGATCAGTGGTTGTGCCCGCGGAGGCCCGCCCGTCCCCAGATTCGTCGGGGGTCCCGCCGTCATTAGCGTGGCGGGTGGGGGGTGGTGTTGATGACTAGAGTTGTTGTTGTTTAAAGGCACCCCACCCGCGTCCAGGTCGACTTCTTCGCCATCGTCGTCCTCCTCGTCGGAAGAGGAGGATCCGTCCAACGATAAACAAAGGGTGCTGAACACGTTCAGGAGTCCGACGAGTTGAGGTTTCACTTCAGGATTTGGCTAGAAAAATTTAAACAATTTTATATAATTTTCCCTATTTCTTAAAAAAAGTAAACAAATCCTAAAAATGGGGAAAGTATGTCGAAATGCAGTATTTTTGGCTTGGTTCTTCCCAGGGTTTAGATTTCCGGGGGTGTTACACCCATAAAAATACGAAAATCAACGTGAAAAAGACGAAAGCGTGGGTTTGATTTGCGGTACAAACGTGCAAACGCGTTTGCCAGGAGAGTGGGAGGATATTTTTGAACTTTTTCAGAAAAATTTTTAAAGTTTCCGGGAATTTTGGAGCATTTTTAGGGTCCACTTTTACGGAACGTGAGAATTGTCAGGATGCTTTCCTCTTTTTCCAGGAAGAAAGTAGAAATTGAACCCACGGACAAAAATCAGTCGAAAATACATGTTTTCTGAAGAAAATTACTTTTTACCTCTTCAAAATACTTTATTTTTTAAAATATCGTGAAAACAATGCATTTCGAAAGCGATAAAAAGTTAACTTCTTCACAAAACCACCATTTTCGTCTAATTGTTGTCTTCCCCAAGTAAAGTTTCGTGTTTTTGTGGGTGTAACACCCCTAGAAATGTAAACCCCGGGAAGAACTAAGCTCAAAAATACCATATTTTGACAAAATATCTTCCCCACAACTATTTTAATTCACAATAATTAAAACTCACATCCCGTACGGCACAAGTTTGGAGTTGGGTGAGACAAGGGGAGAATATTTCATTCACGGCCGATATCACTTGATCACTGGGCAAGTACGGCAGAAATCGTCCAATGCAAAATACTATTCTGTTGCAGTCGTTCGGCGTCAAATTCCCACTTTCCAATGCTTGCTGTACCGTAAAAACATGTCATTAGATGCATTAATTTAACTGGTATGATAAAAGATTAATAATTCATTACTTTGCACGATGTCAAAATCTGGGGAGTAAATTCCGACAAGTTTTTCGTACAGTCTCTACTCAACGTTTTCATGGCTGGAAGACATGAACATTTTTATGCATAAAAATAGCTTCAGATATGTAAATTATACTGACGCAATTCACGCAGGCCTTGACAAAATTGTAAACTCCGTAATTCTGTACACTTGCAAACTTTCGCAAATATATTAAAGGAAAATTAGCTTAAAACTTTTGTAAAATTACTTTAAATACAACATACAATGGAGATCTTATCGACGTATGCTCTACGAATTTGGCCAAATTAGGGTCAACTGATCACAAATTTAATTAGTATGCAATTTTCAAATGATACGATCTCTCAATCAATGGGAAATTTTGGCAGAGATATTTGAATTCGAAGAGGAGAAAATACCTGAAGTCGATAAAATTTACACTCTCCAATTTTACTGTCCGCTTTCTCCTCTTCGTATGCAAAAATCTCTGCCAAACTTATACATTGGGAGATCGTGTTCTTTTCAAATTTCATACTTATTAAATTAGTGATCGATTCACACTAATTCCCTCAAAATTGGAGAGCATACCGGACAGATCTCCACTGTCAGATGAAGGGCGTCTCTTTGGTTTGTAAAAATTTGTTAAATTATTTTACAAAACGCACTGATTGTCCAAGTTCCAAATAAATCCGTGAATTGCCTCACTATATATTTTTCTCCATAAGTGCTCACCTAGTGCGGCCGACGTGATAATTTCCGGTTGGAATAAACCTTCCAGAATGAATCCTACAATATTTTTCACTACGGCGTCGTATAAATGCAGCATTCCGCTACACGAACCTAGTAGAATTGTATCAATTAAATATTAATTAGTCCTCAACTAATAAAATTAATTATTAAATTTAATCTTAATTAACCAATAACTCACTTATGCATTCTATCGCGGCCTGAAACAATTTCGGATTCTTCGCCGTCGGACTTTTGTTGTCTCGGTTCAACTTTAAAACTCTGTAAATCACAGTGAACACTCGACTCATCGGGGCCGCGACGACGGGGTCAGTTTCGTCTGATATATTTTCAGACACTGCTTTAATTCCGAGTAGTAAACTCTCGATTTCAGGCCAGCGAGTCGCCAGCTCTTCAGGATTCTGAAAAAATAACGAAATTAATCAAAAATCCAAACCAAACAAATTCCATTTAACGTTGAAATCGATGACCTTTCGCTAAAACCAGCGCGTTTTCGATCGTTTCTCGCCTCCGGGAATTTATTTCAAAATTCTGGACGACAAATTTGTAGAGCAGGTCATTCCCAATTAAAACAAATATACACTCCAAATCCAAATTTTGACACTTTTTGAAGGAGATCTCAAGGTTAAGAAACCTTCAGAAAAATTGGAACTCATCGAAACTGGCTCAAAAACCTCAACGCCATTCAATTAATCAACCCACTGACGGCAAATTTGTCGTCCAGAATTTTAAAATAAATTTCCAGAGACGAGAAACACTTTTAAAGATTTGTAGATTTTGGCGAAGCGTCATCGAGTCCTACGTTAATAAAACTCTGCGAATTTTTTTTTCTCACATTTTCCGCCGCCGCCAATTGCCCCTCAGTCCAGTCCACCAATTCATTCAGCATGGACCACCCCCGAAGCTCGAAGCAGTAGGTGAGACAATCACAGACATCCTGGCGATACACGCGAAACATTTCTCTCTCCTCGGAATTCCAGTCCGACGTGTCGATCGGATATTGCGCCTTCTTCACCAGAATTTTCGCCAACGTTTGATAAACATCTTCGTAAACTTGCATAATCCTGATGTATTTTAACCGTTCGGACTGATATGCTTGGATATCTTCCTGCAAAGCAAAATTAATCAGGCATCAATTAATTAATTCATTAGATATTTTCTAGCTAATTATTTATTTCATGTAGGACTCGACGACTCATCACAAAAATCGTCAAAATCCCGATATTTTTAATCATTTCTCCGCTCTGGGAATTTATATTAAAATTCTAGATGACAAATTGGCAGTCAGTGAACTACTAATTAACGAAATGGCGATGAGTTTTTTTTAGTCAGTTTCGATCATTTCCAATTTTCTGAAGGTTTCTTAAACTTAAAATCTCCTCCTTCAAAAAGTGTTAAAATCTAGAGTGTATATTTTTTTAAAATTGGGGACGACCTGCTCTACAAATTTGTCGTCCAGAATTTTAAAATAAGTTCCCAGACCCGAGAAATAATTAAAAATGTACGGATTTTGGCGATGAATCATCAAGTCCTACGTTAATTAATTAATTTATACCCAAATTATCATTTAATAAGCTTATCGTACCACGAAAGAGTACCAGACCGGGATTGGTAACGTGCTAACGATTTCGTCCACTGGATAAATCCCCGGATAATCCGTGCAATCCAACAAAATCTTCACGAGTGACAAAGCATTTTCCCGATTCTTTGGATTACTAACGGAATAACTGCACTCCGGATCGGCCACATCCACAATCAGTTTGGAATGACATTCTCCTAGAGCGACGTACATTCCATAAAATGCGTTGGCCATTTCCTATAAGAAAAAATATGTAAATATTAACCACTTTGCTACTTAATTAACAGTTGTAGTCAAATATTTTGCGAAAAAAAAGTATTTTGAGCTCCATTCTTCAAAGGGTTTGGATTTCAGGGGGCTCTTACACCCCCCAAAAAGACGAAAATCTACGTGAAGGGAACAGTCAGTCGAAAATTCTGAAGAAATTAACCGCTGTCAAAATCTTTAAAATTGAAAATTGTGGTTTTGTGAAGAAACGAACTTTTTATCGGTCAAACTACAAAGTTTCCACGATTTTTCAAAAATGCAGAATTTTTACAGCGATAAAACGTTAGTTTCTTCAGAAAAACCTGTATCTACATGGAGAATATTAACAGCACTACAACAGACAAAGAAATTTACTTTCTATCGCTGTAAAAATTCTGCATTTTTAAAAAATCGTGAAAACTTTGTAGTTTGACCGATAAAAAGTTCGTTTCTTCACAAAACCACTATTTTCTTGTGACTGTTTCTTCTCCACATAGATTCTCGTCTTTTTGAAGGTGCAACACTTGCAACAGCCCTAGAAATCCAACTCCTTAAAAAAACGACCTCAAAATTCTGCATTTAGACAAACCAAGTCCTCCTCCTTAATTAATCAACCCATTAATTAATTAATTAATTTCCATACCATGTCATCCCTCTGCATCACGATTTGCAGGGAAGGATGCAGATTAATCACTTTATCCAGCAGTTTTAGAATTATTGTGGGATATTGATGCGCCTGAGGTTCGCCGACAATTCCGCTCAGAATTTCAATCACAATGTCGCCCACGTCGCCATCATTCAAATCCACGTAGGTCACCACCGAGTTGCAGAGTAGGTCGACGAACTGAAATAATTCCGGCCATTCAAAAATGCAGATCATCTTCATCCAAGAGTTCAACGCTTTATAAATTTCCAAAACCAGTTCCCTATTGTCAGTCTTGTTCTGAGCGACGTTAAACAGCCATGAGTACACTGCAAGAGGAAATTTTAATTAATAAATGCTATAATTTTGTCTTCATACGTACGAAATTACATAAAATGTTAAATACTTTCGTCAAAATACAGTATTTTGAGCCCCGTTCTTCCCAGGGTTTGAATTTTCTGAGCTGTTACTTACACCCACATAAAGACGAAAATCTACGTGGAGAAGACAACAGTCCGTCGAAAATACAGAAACTAACTATTAATCGATGTCAAAATTTACTTTCTTTTTAGAAAATTGTGAAAACAATCCATTTTCCAGCGATAAGACGTTAATTCATTGAAAAAAATCGTATTTTCATCCCACTGTTGCCTTCTCCACGTAGATTTTCGTCTTTTTGTGGGTGTAACAGTCCCAAAAATCCAAACCCTTTTGTGTACAAAATAATAATTATTCTTTTCAGCTTTAAAATAAAAGTCGAAAATTTGCAAAAGATTTTGCCTAGATTAAGTTTTTTTTGTTACAATAGCAAGAGTTTGACACCAAAAATAAATTTATAATGAATTTTAATTTCTTATAATTCGATAGGTCGTTTAGATTTTCGTGTAACAGCCCTAAAAATCCGGGAATACTGGAGCTCAAAATACTGTATTTTTTTCACCAAAATAATTTGCCCACCCCGATTTTTAATTAATAATAATTATCCCAGTTTAAATAAAATTGTGTCCTTCTTACTCATCTGCCCTTTTCCTTGCAGTTCTCGACAGGCCTGTCCTTTCGCCACGGAACTCAGCGAAAATGCCTGCGCATCAAAACAAAACATTATATTAAAAACCGTCAATAATTAATATTAATCAACACATCATCATCATTATTATTATCACCTGTTCTGGAATGTGTCCAAAAACCTGGACCAACAACCGTAACACGGTAACTTCCGGTACCCCGGGGAAATTTTGTGGTGCAAAGGTTGACGCCAAATCGTCCAACGGATTCATCCACACGGTTCCGATCGTATTTAACACGAATGCTCCAAGCTGCAAACCAATCATTAATTAATTACAATTACACTAATTAATTACTAATTAACTAACCGTCAAACACAGCCTCGTCAACACCATGGGCGGCCCGGCAATATATTTCGCCACAATGGCCACCAATCTATCCTTCAATCCGGCATATTCCGGTTCCGGAAGTTCGCCAAAACATCGTGAAACTTTATAGTGGAGAATATTAGCGGCTAAAAACTGCAGCTGGAGGGACTTCCCAGGGTCCAGTAAGGGCCACACGACCTGCCAAGCCTCCCTCGATGACTGACATTGCTTCAACCATTCGTGAACTTCCTTATTTACTTTGCCCGTATTATTATAAAATTCCAAAACTGCAGCCTCCACGTTTTCCGGGGTGAACTCCATCCTTATTTTTTAACTAAACTAATCCTAAAATCGCTAATTTTAATCAGGTTTCCTACCAGAATTATATAAGTTTCTAGTTAATTAATTATTCATGATATTTCTCTCCTTCTCTCTCTTTGGTTTTGCTCAGCCTTATCAGTTCGTCCGCTGGACTGGAATAATGACAATTTAACTAATTTGACACTCAACACGATTAAAATAATATAGTTAATAATTTAAAATAATTCATTTATTTCTTTAAAAGTTGGGAAGAAAACTAAATAAATTCTATAAACTCTTGTTTATTTCGTGAATTTATGATGCCGATAATAGACTCGAATTTCGCTGCGCGGACGGCTCAACTCGCCCCGACACTAAATTAATCGATATTTCATACAAAATTCGTGAAATGGCGTTCTTTTCATGCAAAAAATAATTCAAATCAAGATTAATAACAGAAAATTTACTAAAATTTATACAAGGCTAAAAAATCATGCAAAAAATCTAACTTTGTTAAATTAATTAATCAAAATTCATAAAAAGGTGAACACAATTCGTACAATGGTGTTGTTTTCATGCAATAAACAAATCAAATCAAGATTAACTTCAAAGAAATCGAGCAAAAGTTATGCACCGCTAAAAAATTCATATAATAATTAAAAATCGTCAAATTAATGAATTAATATCTATTTATTAATAAAATTCCTCAAATGACATTCTTTTCATGCAAAATAAATCGAACCAAAATTACTTACAGAAAATTTACTAAAATTTATGCAGGGCTAAAAAAGCATGTAACAAATTTAAATTTGCAAAATTAATTAATTAATCAAAATTAACACAAGTACACAAAATTCGTGAAATGGCGTTCTTTACATGCAAAACTCATGCAATTAAATCAGTCTGTATCAGATTCCTGGTAAATAGTTTAAAAAATAGTTACAAATACTAAAAACATTACTAACTACTAAACTACTGACTGCTAAAAATTAATAGTTACGTGTACTTACCAGAAGGCGAATATGTATTTAAGAAATATGAAATGCCAAAATATTTACAAAATATGTACAAGAAAAACCATGCAATTTTTTTAATTTTTGGAAAAAAAAAATTTTGATTTTAACGCTTTGCGTTTTTTGTGTTCCACTTTCTTTTCATCTCTCACTTCGTTGAAATATTTTATTTTATTTTTAAATTATGGTAAAGATTTACGCATTTTTTAAATAATAGCGATAATATTTATAAATATTTATATGTCTCAAAACCTAGAAATTTAGGTATTATTAATAAATAATATTAATAAATAAACAATAATTTAAAATGAGGTTTTTTATTTAAGAAACTTTCCACTCTACAAAGACAAGATCTACAATTTTGAAGTTAAGATGTATATAGAAAAAAATTAAGCTGTGTCGTCAAACAGGGACAATTTTTGCATTTTATTATTTTATGTAAGTTTCTGTTAGAAAAGAATCTGTAAGTTTGTCTCGGCTTTTGAATGGATAATCTGCATTTTTCTGGCGAATTCAATGAAAATTAAGTTGTCTCGGTAAAAATTGACATTTTATTTTTAATTATTGGAAAAATTTGTGAACATGAATTTGCGATCAATCTGAAATTTTGTTTTAAATGGTAATAATTATACGCAAAAATAAAGTTATGTCGTCAAACACTGACATTTTCTGCACTTTGAATTAAAAAAAATATTCTTACACGAGATTTCGCTTAATTAAAGAAATTTTAAATTGGAAACGAAATTCATACAACCTGTACTTTTATTTGAGAAGTAATTATCTGTACTTTTCTGATTATTTTAATCGCAAAATCAAAATGAGTTAAATAATGAAGATTTCTGCACTTTATTATTTGACTAGCGTATAGCCCGGCCAAGGCCGGGTTCTAGAGTTCCAGTGGGGGGTGTGCCCAAAGCAAAAAATCCGTCATACTATATTTTAAATAATTCCCAGTGGAGACTTTGTCATACTACATACATACATCAGACTGAGGGTTTGCCCAAGTCATACTGCATTTTAATTAACCTGGTCACAGTAAAATTTGATTCCCCCTGTGGGAGTAGTTGAATAGCTAATTACTTAAATTCCCGTCGCGTGGGAGTAACTGCATAGCTAACTATTTAAATTCCCACGCTTCACGCTCCCGTTAAGTTCCATAAACCCCGTTAACTTCTACAATTAACGCCAAGCTATTGACGGATTCGGATTCAGCGTCAAAAATACATTCGAATTGATATGCGACATCACGAATAAGCCAGATTTGGACACCACGGTCACGGCGAGGTCACGGGGGCCTCGCAGGTCAAAACCATTGACGGCGTTGGATTCAGCGTCAAAAATACATTCGAACTGACATGCCACTCGCTGTGGGTAGAGTTTCTCAAACTAAAATAATTAATTAATAGTGTTTATCACGATCACTTATCATGATAACCACTATTGATGAGTGATGTATGTATGTGGGGTGTACATGTTCATGTATTCATGCAGTGCAGTGCATGCATGCAGTGGTTGCTCCGCTTCCTTCTTTGTCTACTGTATGGGGCAATTTGCATTGCGAAGACGGACCCAGGGATCATACTAACACTTTATTAGAGTAGATAAATATATTTTAACACGATATTTCGCTTTATTTCAGGGTTTTCTATTAAAAAATCAATACAATCTGCAAGATGTTTGACAAGCGATCTGAATTTTTCTGGGTATTTTTTATGCAAACACGAAATTTAAGTTGTTTAGTCGTTAAAAAGTGACATTTTATTTTTACTAAATTTAATCAGAGGAAAAATTTGAACATGAATTTACAGTCAATCTGAAATTTAGTTTTAAACGGCAATAATTATATGCAAAAATAAAGTTATGTCGTCAAACACTGACATTTTCTGCAGTTTGAATTTTAAAAAATATTCTAACATGAGATTTCGCTTAAACGTCGGTCGTCAGCGAATGAAAGAGTTGAAAATAAATACATATCCACACCCTCTGATATCCACACCCTCTGATACACAAATAGTAAACAAGAAGATGAGAAACTTATCATGTTTTAAATAATTAGATAACTATGAACCTTTTTAATAATTGCATTTTTCCGTTTACGGATCGTTTTAAATCATCTTTATGAGATTTATTTAATTCCAAAATTTAAAATCCTTCCATGTATTTTTAAAGAATAAGAAAATAAATAAATACAACGTTGTAAAGTTATAAAGTAGGGAAAAACTGGAAAAATCTTCATAAAGTGTACTCACGCATTTTTTATCATTTAGAATTAAAAAATCTTAGTTCCTTTCACGACTCGATGGTGGCCGGCATCATTTGCGAAGTTTGCAAGAGTACAATTTCAAACGTGAATATGACCGAGATCACGGACAGGATGAAGGGTCGACCTGCACGCAGAAAGAAATGGAACAAAATCATCAACACATTTCATATGAACTTTTCCTCATTTACATGATCAATGTAGCATTTTCAGTACAAATTTTACCAATATGGAACGCTCCCAAGCCATGCAATCCCACCGAAGTGGACGCCAACTTTCTCTCTGCTCTCTCAACCTTAATTCACACATCCCACAAAAAAAATCAAGTCATCAGAAACTGTATAAATCTAATTACAATGGAGGTTTGCAAGCGCATGTTCTCGGATTTTGGCCAAGTTAGTCCCAATCTATCGCAAATTAGTATGAAATTTGCAAAAGTGACGATGTCCCAATGGGCACGTTTGGCCGAGATATTTGCATCCCAAGAGGAGAAAACACGCTTTAAAGTCGACAAATTGTACAATTTCCAAATTAAGTGGACATTTTCTCCTCTTGGGATGCAAATATCTCGGCCAAACATGCCCATTGGGAGATCGCGTCTTTCCCTAATTTCATCCTACTTAAATTTGCAATAGATTGACACTAATTTCCTCAAAAATCAGAGGGCACACGCTGGGAGACCTCCATTGTTAATTATGCATCCTCCTTACATCCACCGTGTACAAACTTCTAGGACAATTGTACAAGATTTTGACAAAATTGTGCGCATAGTCGTTAATCTTGGCCGCGGAGAGGGCGCAAACGTACGTCCTGGCGACTAGATGGAGAAAAGACCATCCGACGTAGAGGGCTGACACGAAGTCCAACTTTTTCGACGGGGCGAGAAATAAGTGCAGCTAAATTTTCATTTTCATAAAGTAAACATAAATTCACATAAATTCACATTCACATAAATCTGGTTTGTATATTTTTCCACTGTATTTTTTTGTATTTTTTTCATGTTATGGGGACCGATGGTCAAGCTTTGTGCCCCTTTAACATAAATAACAAAAATTTTTAAAAAAATTCACAAATTGTTATATACGTACATATGTCTAGGTTTTCATATACCTATACAATTATTTCCATTATTATTTTTAAAAATCTGTAAAATATTTAAGTATTTCAAAAATACCAAAACCTATTTTGTAAATATTTCAATGATTTGAGACAGCAATTTCAATTCAGAAATTCTAATTTTGTGAAAATAGATACTCATTTTTATGAATTTTTTTGTAAATATTTCCTTAATAGTTTATCTATTTTTCTTAAATATTAACTAAATACTGCGGCGATGCTTCGTAAATACATATCTGCCCTTTGATTATTAATTACTAACACTACAAAATTCCTCTCCTTACTTGAATACAAATGAAGTAAATGTTGACTGCGAAGGAGGTGAAAACGAGTGGTGAAAGCAAATCGGCAAACTCTTCCGTCAATTTCGACAACCGGTCGTGATGCTCAATTGCATGCAACCAATCCAATTTCCCTGCAATTTCAACACCCAGAATAAGAAATGCATGAATTTATAACATAATATAAATTCATGAAGAAATGTCATAAAATTTGCAATCATAAATTCGCACTCATGTACCCGCAGGCGATGGAGATTTGAGCAATTTTTCTTCCACGGATTCCACGAACCGTTTAAACTTTCCGTACAATCCGCGAGAAATTACGGCGATGAAGATGTCCCCAAAATTCCACGCGTACACGGCCCACTTGTTGCAAAGAAAGACGCCAATCGCTGCCGTGGCGTGGTACGGGATCATGAGTGACCACTGCTTGTGAGAATTTTCATAGTAGTATTGTAACGGTTGGGGGACGCGTTCTGCGCATGAGAGGAAAATTTGCGTAAATAAAATTAGCAAAAATGTTTTATAAATGAAAATATGTACAAAATTTTCACATTTATGAAAATTACTACAAAAGAGATGTGCAAAATTTTGCATAATTTCTCTTCATAAAAGATCTGTATGACCTTTTACGCTGAAAATTATCAAACAATTGAAACATGCAGAGATTTTAGGGGACCAGTTCTGCATCGGAGGGAAATTTGCGAAAATAAATTAGCAAAGATTTTTTCTCCATGAAAGTATAAAATTAGGTTTCAATTTTCCCACATTCATGTGAAAATTATCAATTGTTTTGCACAAGAGACGTGCAAAATTCTGCACAACTCGATACAATTTCTCTTCGTAAATACATATGCATAAAAACTCTTATGCAATATGCATGAAATCTAATTGAATGATATTTCAAATAATTGAATCATTCAGACTTGTGCAGAATTTTGCAGAAAAATGGGCCAATTTGCATACCATAAAAATGTGCTTACCATGTAGAGGAAATAGTAATAAATGAGACACAGCATTTTCCGCAATGGCAGAAATCAGTATTGTCCCAGCGATCGTGTTAATGCTGAGATGGAGCGACGCGTCGGAAGCGTGATTTTGCATAGCGTCCACTTCCCTCCACTTGTGAAAGAGGTCAATCAGTTTTTGAGCATTGCGGAAGATGAAGATGAATCTACATATTTTTACCAATTTCCTAACTAATGAGCAAATATGTAAATAAATATTTTGCCAACTTACACATACAATCCCATCGAATAGCAGACCGAACCTGCCAAATTTTTCGCTAATTGTGTCGCATCACGTCCTCCCCCTTGAAAAAATCCGACTATCGCGAGTCCCGTATTGCAACATAAAATGAGAATTATGCTGAATGAAATTATCCCAGAGATGCTCCATTTTCTTAAAAAATACAAAAGTTTGCACAACAATGACATATGTACGACTTGATTTCTCATCATGAAAATAGTACAAAAATCAACGCAGTTTTAATCCCCTGGGACTAATTTTAAAATTATATTTATAATAAAAATTGGCAAGGTCTCGTCGTTGTGTACGGATTTTTTTTGCGTAAGAATTACATGTTTTTTTCTAGATTGGGGAGGAAAAGAAGATCGCAGACATAATCGGATGCATCAAGACGGTCCAATGACAAAAAAAAGATAAAATCAATCCAGGACATAAATATTCAGATTCATAAAAATTAACATTTTAGGACTCCATGACTCGTCACTAAAATAATCAAAATCCCCACATTTTTAATCATTTCTCCCCTCTGGGAACTTATTTTAAAATTATGGACGATCCAATTTGCCATCGGTGAGTTGATCGATGGAATGACGATGAGTTTTTTAAGCCATTTTTGACGAGTTCCAAGTTTTCTGAAGGCTTCCTAAACTTGAGATCTCCTTCAAAAAGTGTCAAAATCTGGAGTGCATATTTCTAAAAAAAATGACAACTCCATGCTCTACGAATTTGCCTTCCAGAATTTTAAAATAAATTCCCAGAGCCCCGAAACGATTAAAAATGTGCTGACCGAGTCCTACGTTAATATAAAAATCCGAGCTAAACACTTACTTGAACCTTACACGATCCAAATCCGCACTAAAAACCCCACCGATTGGAACAAGTCCAATGCACCTCCCAAATATCAGCAACGTTCTGATACACTTGTACAAATCGTCCGACCTGACCCCCGTGGGGGCCCTATTTCCTAAAAAGTGGTCCACCCCAATTTCCACGCCACCATTTCGACTGGGCGTCGTCCCCTTCTGGGCATCGCTCTCCCGGGTATTATTGTTATTATTGTGGTTGTGGTGCTGGAGGAGCGAAATGGGCGAAATCGTTTGCACCAACATGAAATTGCTCGACTTCATCAAACCAACGACGAAAAAAATATCGGGTTTTCCTCAATTTTTTGCACTCAACTTTATTAATTGTTTGTACTACACATTTTATTATTTGCCTTTTTCCACGCTGCTTGAACTAAGTAATTAATTTGTGCGTAAGTACCTTGTTCAAAATCTGGTAGAGTCAGATATTTATATACACCGTACTGATATATATTTGGAAATAACTTCCCACCCGATTTTGTAGTAGCTTGTTTCTTTATGGTAAATTCTTCATTTCTACAACATTAATGCAAAATCGTAATGCCCGTTATTACCAGTGCCGGTAGAATCATACTCCGGTCAGTAATGCTTTAATTCCAGGTTTCTAAGAGCGTACACCTTTAAAATCTGGTTGAGTCCGATATATACTCCGTATATACGGGTATATATTTGGTAACAGCTTTCTACCCGATTTGGTAATAGTTTATTACTGTGTGGTATCCTGTTATTAACAGTGCCGGTAGAATCATATACGTACTCCGGTCAGTAATGATTTAATTCCACTCTTCGCAGAAAGTGGAACCCAAGAAATACCATGTTAACGACTAAAACCTTCCAGTTGACCACAAAAACCTGGTGAAAGTGCACCAACTGAGAAGGTTTCTCAGCGGATGCGCTCCGATTTTTAGCAAATTAGTCTCAATCGATCACAAGTTTAATTAGAATGAAATTTGAGAAAGGCACGATCCCCTAATGGGCACGTTTAGCAGAGATATCTGCATCCGAAGAGGAGAAAACAAAATTCTGATGGACGTGGTATCAAATTTCATAATTTTGATACCACGTAATTACATAAATAATTTAGGAATATGTATTTTTAATCCAGAATAAAGGTTTCCCAGCGGATGCTCTCAGATTCTGGGCAAATTAGTGTGAATCAATCACAAATTGAATTATTATGAAATAAATTAAATTTTGAAAAGTGTAAAACTGTAATGTTAAAAAGTCAGAAAAAATATTTTGTAAAGAAGTATATTTCATTAAACTTTATCAGATAGACTTCCCGTTTGCCAAAAATTTTAGAATTTTCATAATAAATTTACCCAATTCAACTCAGTATTTACGTAACTTTGATATTTTTTTTCGCCAGATAATACAATAAATAAGAATTTAATTCACAATTAATATTAGTTAACCTAACCATTTTTAGGTCAAGTTTAATTAGTAAGTCATTTTCACAGGGCATGGTTTCGAATTGGCAAAGGTATTTGCATCCGAACAGGAGAAAACACGCAGTAAATTTCGAAAGTGTACAATTTGTCGAATTTAACTCGCATTTTCTTGTCTTACTGTGTAAATTACTTACTACTTAAATTTGCCTTAATTAATTAAATTAAATTCTTATTTATTGTATTTCTGTATCTGGCAAAAAAATATCAAAGTTACGTAATAAATGCTGAGTTGAATTAGGTAAATTTATTACGGCAATTCTAAAATTTCTCGCATGCAGGAAGCATATCTGATAAAGTTTAATTAAATATACTTCTTTACAAAATATTTTTTTCTGACTTTTTAACATTACAGTTTTCCTCTTTTCACAATTTACTAGCCGTTTTTTCTTCTTGGGATGAAAATATCTCTGCGAAACGTGCCCATGGGGAGATCCTATACCTTTCACAAAATTCATACTAATTAAACTTGTCATCGATTGACAATAATTTCCTCAAAATCGGAGAGCATCCAATGTGAGACCTCAATTACAAGATCTGAGAGGGGCAGGTGGTGAATGGTGAAGCTCTCCTCCTTAGTAAAACGGTATTGAATTGGAGTGCATATGTATGTGATTTAACCGGCGCGGTGATAACGGGCATTACCGTATAGTTAAAAATATACCGACGTGGTGAAAACTTAGAATTAAAGTATTACCAACCCGGGCAGAAATTATCGCCAAATCAACACCATGCCAGAATGTATATTCACCAACCAACTTAACTCAAACCACAATATTTTCTCACTTATCGAAATACATTTCCGAAGAAAACCTTGTCATGGTCACTGCCAATATGAATGCGTAGCGAAGCTTTTACTCACACCACAGTTCACCACACAATTAATTGTACTCTTGTCACGAACTTTCGGGCTTATTATATTCATTTGACACACTCTTTCTCCTCGAATTCTGATTGACGGTGGTTTCACGCAACAATGAAGTATCACTATTTATTTATTTTGTTAAAAGGTAAAGAATCCAGACTAAACCCAAAAATAAATACGTTTTTAACACATTTACCAAAGAATGAAGAAAGTAAATATCGTACCTATTTCGGTACTTCAATACTGCAAAACTTATTTTTCTTAGTGAGGCAAATACCTGACAACGAAAAAAATTGCTAAGTATGCATTTACCCCACTCAAAAAAAGTGACATAAGTCGATTTCTCGGCCATTTCTCAACCGATTTAAATGAAATTTTACACAGATCATTGCTAGGTAATTTAGAAAAGGTGTGCTAGTCGACTTGGCGAATTTTTGATTTTTACCCAAGTTATTTGCCAAAATGTGCAAAAATTTTCCCCTGAAAACATATTTATTTTTATGATTTATAAGTGGTGTATCTCAGCATGCTCGCTTATTGAAAATATTTTAGTCAAGGTCGTTCCGGACATTTTAAGCGCAAAATGACCTAAATCGGTTGAGAAATAACGGCGTTATTCAAGTTTGAAAATCAAAAATTTAATAAAAATATTCAGGGTGCCGATAATAACGGCGGTTGTGCAGTAAAAATAATGTCTTTGACAACCAATTACAAGTTTTAAATAAACAAGGCCCCAAAAAATGGGAAATCTTAGTGAGTCAGCGCAATCACAGTTAATAAATAATTTTAGATTGAATAATTTTTGCATCACCGCTCTCGGGATAATTTTTACTGGGTCCACTGTAAATTTAGTTTTGCATACGCATGAACGCTTGCATTCATTAAATTAATTGAGATTACAAGATGACGTTTTTACTATTGAACGAGAAGTTGGCTAAATTAATCGGTATGAAGTATAATAATTGTGAACTGCGAATTTTAAATTTAGAAAGAGTTGAAAATCTACAATTTCGATATATAAATTTGGATATCCTATTAATTCTTATTCTGGACCCTTTGGGGGGGGGCAATTATTCTAAATGATTAATTAATGCTTCCAGGAAAAATCATACCGAGAGCGGTGATGCAAAAATTATTCAATCTAAAATTATTTATTAACTGTGATTGCGCTGACTCACTAAGATTTCCCATTTTTTGGGGCCTTGTTTATTTATTTAGCATGCAAAATGGTACACATTCGCAATTCCCTTTTTCCTGCATATCTACTCCTTTCTCCACCAGAAACTACGAACTTTCCCCATAAAGAAAACCTCAACCAAGAACAAAGCAAGCAAGCAGGTGAGCATTTACTACGCTCGAGATAATAATACCCGTCGTAGGAAATGATATGCATGCATGCAATTTTCATGCCAACGGACATTTGCACAATGTAATTTTTTTTGCATGTAAGGAAGCACATGACTGACTGATAAATGCTGATGCGTTCCCGTAATAAGATGACATGTGTCAATTTCACCCCTTTTGTCAATTTCAGCTCCAAGCAATCAGTCGCCGCACAAGCGTTAGGGCAATGTCCCCACGGTTATTCGATGTCCCCATTGTCTCCCCAAGCCCCTTCCTCGTTAAATACTGCAATGTGAATGTCCCCATATTATGTCTTCCACGGCCATTGCTCGCAATACCTACAAACTTTGACATTTGCCCGTCCTACTGGTACGTATTTATTACACTGTTAGAAATCTGGAACACTCTTATAAAACCGGTATTAAATCATCACTGACCGGAGAATATGCACTATGTATGTATGACTCTGTTGGAACCGGTAATAACGGGCATTAGCTCTGGTTACAATTTAATACCAAGTCGGTGAAAGTTTATAATTAATCGGTGACAATTGTAACCACGGTGGTAGAGTCACATACGTTTACTGTTTGGTGAAAGTTTATAATTAATCGGTGACAATTGTAACCACTCGATGACAAATTTATAACCACGGTAGTAGAGTCACATACGTTTACTGTTTGG